AGATATCAACCTGAATCTTGCTACCCGACGCTTGATTGCGGAGAGGGCAAAATGAAGGGTCGCACTCGTGGCTCCTATGGAAGACTATCCACTTATCGTTGATTAAGAGCCGATTATCCTTGAGGAGCAAATCTAACTCTGCGTTATCCCCGCTTTTAAAACATAATTCAAGATTCTGGGTTTTAGGATTAAGCGCTAAAGCAGCTTTCAACGCTCTTTTCATTCCAGTGGAATATATAGTATCATTGAGGGCGGATGGGGGTGCATCGAGAAGCAAATGAACTCGTTGTTCATTAACGGTACGTAAAAGGCCATGTCTCTATAATGGTTTCCATACAAGTGGGCTTAGACTAGCAGGTTCCTTTTTAAGAGACTTGATAATAATCTCCACGTTCTATACAAGTATTAGTTTGTTATTTGGTAACAGCTTATACGACACGAGGAATTCCTTACCTAGCCTCCTTTCTTATAATAATAGAACTTCCTGTTTTCTAGGTCCTGATCATAAAGATGTTGCCGAATTTTACGTGTAGTCTCAAGTGAGATACTATTATCCGCGAACTGGACATCGGCCCACTTCTCTTCCTCTTGGAGCATGCCAAAATAGTCGATAAGAGGAACTGCTCCAGCATTCTTGATCGCTTCTTCCCAGATGCCAGCTAATATGGCCCCTTGCTCTATTGGGTTTGCTAAAGATGCACGATCTCGATTTACCCCTCCTTAAGCAAAGTTGTATGCAAATTTGAATGCTTTAGCGTTAGGGTTTCGTTCGAGAAGAAGACTTTTGAGATAGAGAGTGTTTTTGAAAGTATCATCTAGAATGATAGTCCCTTTCTTGGTCTTGATGACTTTGGAAGGGGGCTCTAACTCTAGCGACTGCTTCATCCATAACTTGAAGTGTTCCTCGGGGATCTTTTCTCCCTTACCACCACCAATCTTCACGCATACATCGGCCTAAGGGCGAGCACGAAGACCTGATGGAGCTCCCTTTTTCTGAACGGCATCTTTCATTCTCTCAATGACTGAACCTTGAAACCGTTTAATGGTGCAGCACAAATAGCCTGCATTCCTCTTAGGGATGTTGAAGTCCCAATGGGCAGAGGATGCCTTGAAGTTGACGATGTAGTTGTTGCGGATCATAGTTAGACATGCTATCTTGTAGCCTTCCCCATGAGCGCCAGCTAAGTTGATATTCATCCTCTTCGAAGTGAAGCCTAGGCCGAGTGTCTTGCCACTTAATCTGGCATTGTAGTTCACTAGCTCAAGTGTTCCTGCATTATTGGAATACCGAATATAGCCAAGCTCTTGTCCCAATGTTGGATAAATGGCTTTGAAGGTCAAGAAACCTTTCTTGTGGTCGTGATCGGGCTTCTTGATAAAGGATTGAAGTGAATTTGTTTCTTTGATGGCATCATTCCTAATATGAAACCAATTAGAAATACTACTAGAAACAGTCTTCGACTGAACGACTTACCAATTCTGATAGAACTCTCTCCATCCATGACGAGGTTGCCATGCCGGCTCGCAATACTTCCTGTATAAGCCGAGACAAATTGTGCCAGTCTTCAGGTCATCTTCAAAGCCCAATGGAGAATATTGTGCTTCCTCGTCAGATTCCAGTTCCTCATCCTCTGATTCATCTTTGTATGAGGGGTTTGTGTGCCGCGGAGTATTCGAGGAAGAAGAAAAAACAGAAGACATTGTGGCAGTTTGTGGGGTTGAGAACTGGAAGTTGCTAAGGATCAGAGAGGTTATGCTTGGACTCGGGCGTGGCAAGGATCTGGTCGAGATTGTCAGTTAAAAGTTATAATCAATTCGTGAAGGTGGGGTCACCGAGTGGAAAGTATTGGAGTGAATAGAAGCAAGATCGAAGAATTTGGGGTTCAAGATAAGACTCTTACCAGGATAGAATATCGAGAAGGACCAGTACTCAGATAGAGGAGACCAGAATCTGGAAATAAAAGAGCATTGGCTTGTGCTTTGTATGGAAAACACTCTTGATGCTCATGAGAGAGGATGCAACAATGTTGGTGTGCAAAAGTAAAAGAATCAAGTCTGGTGAAAGATTCACTTAATGCCTACCCTCACGTGAGCACTTTGAAGATGTAACTTCTCGCAGATTCAATTTAAGCTTTCAGAACTATGTGATTAGAAGGCACTTTCATTGCTCTCCTCCTGTTTCACCCAAGTTATGGGAACCGATGTGTAGAAGCCTGCTTATGTGAAAAGTATTAGACACAATACAAATTCGATATGTATGCGGATCAGCCAAATAGAAACTGAGATTCCAAGCCGTTGAAATCCTTTGTATTCCTGTCCACAATATCACCCCACCATGGCCCATTTCCAACCACATCTCTCTCAGCCCAGATCTCCTCTAGCAACTCTGCAGCATTGGCAAACATGCCGTACCCACACGAATTCTCGAGGTCTTTATACCCACGAGAACCACTGAAAAAGCGGCAGTACTCGCGACAAAAGTCTCGGCTAACAGAGAAGTCGACCTCTGATCCGGCTAGAAAGAGCGGAAGGAATATCTGTTTGCGGATGGTGGTCTCGCCGTTTATACATGTAATGTGGCTGAGGGTGCTGTTGGCGAGGGACACTGTATTGGCTATCCTGCTCGCTGGAGAATAACTGGGAAATGCGCGGGAGAGGTAGAGCAAAATTCCACATCGCCAGGTCTCGGCAAGGTGATATCTGTCTGATTTGTCGATGGCATGGACTGTATGATCCGTTCCAAAGGCTTCCTCTGTATTTATCCATCCTTGTACCATGTCATATATTTCACGGAGCAGTGATCGGCGTTGGGAAATGTCTGGATTCCCATGGAGTAGGGTGATTTTCACCATGGCGGCGAAGAGCGTCTCGGGGATACCGTGTAGGTCAAACATAGACCAGCCATCGACAGCGGTGTTGCAAAGTGTTGGCTTCAGATACTTGATCGGGAATATCATGGGTTTACGGGAGATGAGGCATACCATGACATCCCACCTACATTCAGTCAGCAGCTATTCAATCAATAAATAGAACGAGTACATACCACAAGAACACAGCTACTTTTGGTCGAACTTCTGGGAGCCTTCCAAGAAGTCTGATGCCCCCCGAGCTTTCCAGAATATTGTAAGCTCCGTGCAGATGAAGTCGCCAAGGACCAAGGGCGGATAGTGCAGCCTATATCCACTCCTTAACAAATCTTTTCAAGGATCTGATGTATGCTTACTTACGTCAACAGAAAACAGAATGAGGACAGTGTCGAGGAGGGTAAGTGCTATCCTCCCCGCATTTGGCAGTGCCTCACAAAAAAGACGAAGCGATGTATTCTTATGATCCAACATCGACAAGGAAAGCTGCTGGTCGTCATTGAATCTTGCCATGTGTAAAGAAGACATGGCCAGTATAGCGTGCAAAAGAAATTGGGAGTCTGGCGCGTTGATGTTGCGGCATCGAAATGGGTTCAGCGCAATGTCGGTTGTCAAGTGCACGACGCAAAACTCTCGATCATCTATTCCAAGAATCAGAAAGTCATTCCAGAAAAGATTAAGAGGCTACTCACACATCTCAAGCACGCCGCTCATTCTACTTGCAAGATTCGAGTACTCAACGCTAGGAGAAAGCCCAAACGGAGAAGGGGATCGAGAAGACCCGATACTCATTGGGATTGGAGAGTAGCACCCTTCTCGTTGCAATTCATCCACCGTTACCAACTCACTTCCGTGTATATTAGCACGTGAAGATTGCCCATTCTTCACTACGGCCAGCCCGCTCTCCCCTTTTCCCTCACGGCCCACGTGATCTTTGAACTTCGGTCTCTTCGTCCTTAGCTTCCCAACCTTGAACTTAATCTGTTTTCCTATAGGTATTGATAGCAACTCCAGATTCGTAGGAGGTGTCGAGTTTGTAGAAGTCCCTGCATCTGAATTGGTGTCCTCTTCCAGGGTCCCACTCTTCACCTTGGTCACCACCACCGGCCCCTGACTCCATTTCAAATCAACCACATATCCGCCACACACAGCTCCCTCGTTTAAACAGGTTTCACACTTCGGAAGCAAGCGATCGCAGATTCTCGAGTCCTGCTCACAAGTATGGCAATCCGCCTTTGCGAAACCCGAGGCGTTAGGTCTTCGTTTGCGGCGCGGTCGATTCGTTAGTTCCAGTGATGCTGTATTTTCCCTTCCCATGCTTTTTGAAACGTTAAGAATTGCGCAAGGAGATAAGAGTTTACTTGTACAGTATTTACTATATCTCGTCTCAAGTCAATTTTAAGGTTGTAGATTAGCTTTATGAAGTACCTATTAATAGATGATCTGCGCCTAGTGCTGACCAGGCTGTCAGCACGAACTTACGTGAAACGTCACGTGTGAAGCTCATTTAGAAGGTTATATTATCTGAAGAGATACAGAATAATACCGCAGTGAAAGTAGATTTTTAACCCCGACTTCACTCGGACGTCATAGTAGCAAGTTCTTACCCCGTGACCATGCACGCGAATCAAATCTTGCAAGTCCGAGAAGTATTAATTTAGTATAGCACATATCAGCCAAGGAGACCTCGGTGAAGAGTTAAAAAACCTAGTTTGTGACTTATTATAATTAGAGGTCAGATAGATATATAAAATAGGTCGGTTTTATAATCTAGCTATCTACTCTAACGAGTGCTGTGGTGAAGTCAGCACGGTCGAGAATTCAGAAGACAATTGCTCCCGCAGCTGGTTTGAGACATACAGACTCTCCGGTCAATCATCTGTAGCCACGAATAAGACTAGTATATATAGAGAGCAATTTTAGCACTCTAGATGTCACTGGGTGGGGAATTGTTGTACCGCTCACAGAAGGAAGCAGTAATTAATTGTTTGATAGCCTGCTAATTCAATCGCCAAAAAGTCTCGCATCAAATACAACGCGTCCCACTCTCTTGCTATTAATACCCAATCCCTGCAAAAACAATTGCCAGCTTTCTCATGACACTGACTTGTTGGAATCAACGAGAGTGATTGACACCTAGGTCTTGAGGATCTTCAATGCGTCAGTCAAATCTGCAATCTTCTTTGCAAGTTTCGTGCGGCACCTCTTGGAAGACTTAGTCTCTCCGACGATCCGTTCAAGCTGCTCGGCTTCTAAGTTGATAACCCAGTCCTGAGTGAACACTTTCAAGGGACTAGAAGGGCCATGCAACAGGCAGTAGTCAACAGCGAGCTGGAAGATATTGTCAAGGTATCGGTCAAGTGCCAGGCTGTAGTAAGCTTGAAGAATGTCATGAATCTCTTCCTGCAACTGCTCCACATTGCTTTTGCCTTCGGCAGCTTCGGCGATGTCGTTCAAGTTGACCATCAACTGAATCTTTCCGTTCTGCTTGTTGTCCTTTCTAGCCTTAGAACGCAGGAGCTCGGTGACTCGATAGCCTCGAGCCTTCGATAGAGCGTCGGCAAACTGTTTGTTGAGCGTGTACGGCTTCTTGCGCTGTTCAACTTCGATCAATAGGCTCGCTTGGGCCATTGCCGTCTTGTAGCGTTCCACAAGGCTCTCGAGGATTGCTGACCATAAATGACTACGGGTTTGCTCCTCGGAACATATGGAATGAATTGCAGCGGCGATGAAGCGATGAAGGGTGATGATAACCCGACTCATATAGATCTTAGTCATGTCGCCCCATTTACGTGATTGCTCTGCAAAAGCCGTAGCAACAAAGTTTGCGTTGAAGGTGCCAAGATCCAAGCCTCTTGATGTCAAGTAGACGTTATTCATCCATGCAGAAAGATTTTCACGCGGCATTGGTATCTGGTGCGGTGGGATAGGGACAATAATGTCACCAAGTTCGGCAAGCTCCCCCGGCGCAACATCGTCGACTCCTGTCATTTCGAGGAACACTCGCAGGTTGTCTATCATCGACTCAACTCGGGGGAACTCTTCAAGATCGGAATCTTCATCGGTATCAGATGCTACAGACGATTCCTCGAAGTGTCGTGAATGGGCGCCCAGTTGAAAATCGGCACTAAAAACATCGGTAATGTTTACCACGTGGTGATGAGACGGAGCTCGTCTTTGTCAAAAACCGGATCTGCGTTATAATCCGCAGCCAAAGCTGCCCTAGCCCGATCCTGGAAAATCTCGGCAATGCGACTGAGGAAAATACGTTGCTCGCGCTCATCCTGGCGAGGCGGCCCAAGACTCTGTAGTTCCCTCTTGCAATCTTTGATTTGCTTGCTGACATCCTGGAGCAATCTGGGAAACTCGCGTCGGGTATTCTCGACTAAAAGGGACATGAGTCGCTCTCTGAGGGCTGGAATGCCTACCCGATCCGGTGGAAGGCCGATCCATGGTTGTTGTCGGAATATCTGATCAAGCTCTGGCTGCTCCTTTGAGCTGCCACTTGCTCCACGATTGCGGACGAGGAAGTAGCCAAGAGTAAGTGGTCGTTTCTTGCCCTTGACAAGGTCACAGACGGCAGCTTGGGCACTCTGTTCAAGTACCAAGTCGGGTTTGGTGAGCACACCGAGGGTACGCTCACCATTCTTGTCGTAATCTTCCGCAAGCTCTAAGATCTCTTGCGTGGCAATGTCGATATTACCCGGCAGCACTGCTAAGATAACAGTGCGATCGTCTTTGATATACTTCTTGACCAGGTCTCTCACAATGACCATGTCATCTTTGGTGGTCCCCTGCGTAGTGGTACGGAATATCCCTGGGACATCAATAATGGTGAGATAGTCCTCGTGTGGTCCCTGCACCTCGATCTTGAGAACATCTTCGCTAAACACAGCGCCGTTCCCGGTTGATACGTCGGTCCGCAAACCCATTTTTTCATTGACCTGGTCTTTCATTAAGCTATATAAATCGACTCCAGATAATCAAGTCTCACTAACCTTCTTCAAGATTTCCTCGAACTGCTCGCAAAATTTCAAACGCGAAGGCATGTGCATCTGAAATCCCTCGACCTCCTTCCTATGCTCCTCTGACGCGTGTGGGCCAGGAATAATACGTATATCGACACGGTCATTGATATTGCGTCGAGATGTGATCTGCGTTGCATGACGAGTGCAGAGGCTTTGGTCTTTTGGAAACGGAATTCCGGTAAGGCTTTCCAGTAAGGAGGACTTGCCAGAGCTTTGATCTCCAGCTACAACAAGCTATTTTCTGTGTGAGCTTGTGCGAAAGCATAGTCACCACCAGCCTTCTGAACTTACCTGTGGGAGAGGTACATGTTGGCCAATGTTCAAGTCACGGAGCTTGTCGACCTTTTCAAGCAACATAGGGTCTGACAAAGTGGTAACCTCCCGGCTGACGGTCATTTTTCGAACCTGCAGCAAAAGTGATCAACTTGATGAAGTCGTGTGTTTTCAAGAGGAGTATCAGCGGGTGTATTGACTTGTTCAAGAGACCAGTGGATGAATAGAAGAAGAATTGTAGAAATTCTTGAATGCATCATCAAGGACGACTCATCCCCTTTATAATCGAAGAAGCCATTCGAGATTCTGCAAGTTTCGATAAGAGACGACGAACCAGCAGCGGTGTGCCGGCTGTGTCTGGACGTTGATAAAGAGCACGGCTTGCAGTTGGCTCTTTTTGAGGCTGCGAATATCCGAGGAACATCTTTGGTGTACCACATGCGCGTTTGCGTAGCATGTTGATAGATAAGAGCAATAAGTTCAAGAAACTGGAAGTAATCAGTGCAGATTTGTCAGGGCGCGAAATATCTGATGCCCAGATTTTGTCTGTCGTTGGCTCGTTGTGAGGCATGCATATGTCCTTCTTCCCAGTTGGCTGCTTTTGAGGCTGCATATACATTAACTTGGTGGCAAGGCGCTTTGTCAGGCTGCAAGGAAATTGTTCTTGATCTGTGGTTGGTCAATTTTGAGGCTGCGTACAAGGCTCCACGCATGGCGATTTATTAGGCTGCGATTAAATATGGTCTTATTCTGCAGTTGGTTTTTGCGAGACAAAATACCATGCACTTCACCTACCCCATTGGTGAGTTTTGAGGCTGATATCGCACTGTGCCCCACGCGGCAGCAGATTATGGTAGGGATTGGTCAACCGCATCGGGCGTACAAGTAACACCATCACATATGCAAGAAGTAGTGTCTCGGCAGAGAATCGAGTTGAATCAACCTGGGAAGGTGGATGTGAAGATAAATGTGGTTATAAAGTGGGTGGTCGTCGCTCCAAGCAAGACCTTTCTGAAGCAAGTCCCTCGCCTCGACCTCATACAGTTCTTCGCTCATCAACAGTCCTGGGCATAGCTACTTTGTGAAGTAGCCCAGGACTGCACAAATCTCAACTCCTTCTTTGAAACAACAACAGCCGGGTCTCCCGTGCACCAAGCAGGAGGCCCGCACCGCCTGACCCCTGTCAAGCAACGAGCAGCGTGTTTGCAGAGCTTCAAGTCAACACGTCTTCTTTCCTGATCCGGACAGCTACGATCCCTCAGCACTCTCGTCAGACAACTTTGAGTATTTCTGCCGTAACGAGTGCGTGAACTACAACGCGTGCGCTTCTTGTAGTGTATGCGAAAAATTTTCACCACTCGCTCCTTTCTCGTCTTTATCTGAGAACGAGAGTGCCGACAGCGTCCATTCAGGATTAAGATTCCCTTTCAGCGCTCAGCAAGACAATCTCCCGGGTCACAACGCCATTGACGGTGATAACCGTCCATACTCTCCTATACCGGATTCTTCCCACCCTTGGGATGAGACTCAGCAGCGGTCATCCTACAACTCGATACTCGTCGAAACAACACCAGAAATTCAGCAACAGCCCTACGACTCAACCTTGGCCAAGACAAGAGCAGATTCTCAAGACGGTGGCACCTCTCGCCACCGTTGTAATGAATGCAATCAGAGCTTTGCTGACAAAAACGGCTTGAAGCGTCATGTCAAAACCATACATAGCCCGGCGCAATGGGTCTGTACTGTCGCGGGTTGTCGCAAATTTGGTAAAGCAGTCTCTAGGAAGGATGATTTCAGGCGGCACTGCAAGACGAGACACCCTACGGTGAATCTCGAACAATTTGGTCTCTGAATATGCACGCATCTGCGTCTCTTTTGGCGGGGGAGCCATCGTATTAGACTGCTCAGGATCGAAGGTCTTTGCAATGTCTCGTTATACGCTACAGGAGGTAGATAGTGGACAGTTCATTATGCGTAGTGTATCTCGAAATCATCTGGCCTGCGTCTGATGATCCCTAGATCCACAAAGCACAATGACTGTAAGTTATTTATAGACCGATCAGAAAATATGATTGCATGTTGCAACATCTGGAATGCCCTCCTATGTGACATCGTTATTCTGTTCAAGATTATGCTAACGTTTCAAAATTACTTGGGGTGCCCGCCATATACCAACATTAAAGGAGCATTTCACCTGGCCTTTTGGTATCTGTCCTTTGTACCTAATTTTGTGATGCGTGCGGATTTTTAATGGCGATGAACGCTGTGTTTTCTGTAATTGTCAGTCTTTACATGAGGCCGCCACTTACTCGTACGCAGCGGAGCCGCCGCTTTCTTTCGGCGCGAGCATATTGATTAGGTGCTCAGTAGATATCATCTCTCGACAATCTGCATGACATGAAATTGGTGAAGCGGTTGGAATGTGCTTTCGATGAGCCGAGTGATGTCTGAATTTGACAAATCAACTGGGAAGTGCCGACGAGAATCTAGGCACCTGGCGCAGGTCGCCGTATGGGCCTAACCAACATCAACGTCTGCCATTTTTCCCAGCCGGCAAACCTACCTCTACATCAATTACCGCCTCTATCGTCCTTCTAAAAACCCCCAACTTAACAATGGACCCAATGTATGACGAGGATGAAATATTCAGACCACCGAAATACGCCGTGAACGGCCTTGTATTCAGCATGTACGATGACAACTCCCAGCTCGAGGTGCGTCGCTATGGCAAATGTTTCTATATCACAATGGCGCCCGAGAACTTTGTCAGTTCCCCTTCCATCAAACAAAAATATCTCGACTACCTGGCTGCGGAAGGATCTGACGTAACGGATGATGATAACAAGGCCGAGTACTACACTCCAGAGGACTTCTATGCTTGGGCCCTCGAGCCGTGCCTTCCACTCTTCGAAACTGTAGCTCCAGCCCCAAAGCAGAATCTCAAGATCACTCTTCATGATTTTCTCCACCCAGTGGATTTCTATTATTCGCTTCGCGCAGTCGATGGGGAATTAACACCGGTTCAGATTGATGGAAGAGAGGCTGGAATGGTGGCTCCAGGTCTCGAGTTGGATGATTCGGCATTTTCTCCAGCATGGCCCTCATTCCTGCCGAAGGAAATTGAAATCTGCATTACGAACCCCCAAGATGCCATTTCCGCTTCCCCCAGCAAAGTTCTCGTTAAAGACAAGGCAATTTGCTTCTTCAAGCTGTACGATTCCAGCGACACAAATATAGCTCTCCGCGAACTCGAGAACTACAGACGGATCACGGAGTCCAAGCTAGATCCTGATGTACGCATTTGCCGCCTCCTCGGTGTTGTTAAGGATGAAGAAAATCGACTTATTGGGCTGCTATTAACATATATTTAATGCGACTTTCTAACTTTGGCTTGTGCTGTGCAACCCGACACTCCGGCTTCCACCAAACAGAAGTGGGTGGATCAAGTAACGAGCACCATGACACAGTTGCATAAGGCTGGAATTCTCTGGAGTGATGCCAAACCAGATAATATATTAATCGACAAGAATAATGACGCGTGGATTATTGATTTTGGTGGAGGGTATACTCGGGGATTTGTAGAGAGAGAGAAAGCTGGAACTATGGAGGGCGATTTGCAAGGATTGAAGAAGATTGGTCGAGTATGTTTTCAGCAAGAGAGCAGAGTAGAAGTTTGTCTTAAAGCTCTGTTTGCTATTATAGTCTACTAAATAATATTGAATGCATAATTTTACTGCAGATTATCTTAGCTATACATTATCTGCATTAACCAGCAAGCACTCGGAGTCGCTCGTGAGCGAGCACCTGGGTATCGCGCATCCAGTAGCTATTTTAGAGGGCGCTGTCAACTTATACTTCTCCGAGTCATTAAGGCGCCGCTTGACGGGTGGCAGCGTAGACAAGGGACAAAAATCGGGCGAGCTTACAGATGAACCAGTGTAGCTAAAAGTTCAGTCATTGTAGAGAATACGCGTAAAATACGCATAGAAAATGCGTTTCAGAAAGCAATATATAAGAAGAGTACCAGTTATCAAGAGCAAATTCTACGCCCTCGAACTTATCGATTGTCCTATGACAGCACCAAATCACGGCATAGACAATCCAAGTTATTCTAGTCTACAGTATGGAGTAGCACTTTGCGTTAAGTCGTGAAATCTTCACCCACATGAACGATAGCTAGCCCCTGGTGAAAGTGGTAATCATGCTTAGACCAATTAAGCCTAGGCCGAAGTAGCTGAACCTCCTAGCAACTATGAATTCATACTTTTCACGACGCATAACTCACCCACAAAGACCCCCACGCTATGCGATGAGCTCTCTATCCGTCCGACACCTTCAACAAACACAAGTCTTGACTGCAGTCTCAAGGCATAGATATCGTCTCATCGAATATGCCAGCACTCACCATCCACATGTTTGGCTCGGTCGCTCAGAGAGGTAGGGATATCACAACCATACTTGCTGCGTTGACAATATGTTGACCGATGAATGTGCTAGTGATGGAGGCCAGGTCATTATCAAGTCTCCATTGCGTGCCCCAGACCATGAGCAGAGAAAGGCTGTGCGTCAGCTCGATACCGAGATAACGATTCTCAGCGGTCCGCTTAAAAATACCGAGGGCATCCGGCAACTTGTCGATCAGGTTGTTTTAACAGAAGGACTCGATAGACACTCACAAGTAGGTGTCTTCGAACATCTAGAATTCGATTTTCATAAGTACTACATAGCCCAGAAAAATGGATTATCACGTCTACAAATCAAGTCAATGGCTCGACAAATCTTGACAGCTCTCTCAAATACGCATAAGCAAAACATTGTTCATACAGGTTAGAACTTCCCTTCACTATTTATACCACAGAGGGCTAATAGTGTATTGAAGACCTGAAGCCTGAGAACATTGTATTCTCGCGGCTTGCAAACTCGACCGCATCAGAGATGTTGGTTAAGATCATCGATTTCGGAGTTGGTATATTGTGGCACAAATAGAGAGGTGCAGTGCTGAGGCTAATATCCTTACAGCTTCGCAACAAGATGAAGACCGACATCGTATGATAACAAATCCGTACTGGCGGAGTCCTGAGTCTTGGATTGGAATGCCCTGGGGGACGCCTGCTGATATTTGGTCCTTTGGAGCAGTTGTAAGAAGTTTATTATCCTTGCCCTCTTTTTATTGAGCACTAAATCTGTTTTGTGATCTAGATTGGCTCCCTACTTATGGAACCAGGCGCGAAGCTGTTCCAACCTATGGGTGGTCTTGTTGGTGTATCCCTTGAGGAACAGGAGCGAGAGTTCTTACGCTCACTATGGACGATCATTCCGTTTCCTAAAACGTTTCTTGATCGGGCACCCAAGAAATGGCAAGACGAGATTTCGTCATTTTCGCCACGACTGGCGCCGACTGGGGTACCTATCACATTGTCTTTCATAGGAGAAATTTTTGAGGTCCCGAAAGCAGACTGGGCATTCGTCAGAGACGTTTTACAGGTGGATCCTGAGATGCGACCGACTGCCGACGATCTTCTTCAACACACTTGGCTCAACTCATAAGATAGCAATATGTGAATTTTTGCCACCATTTCTTATCACTTAAGGTTACAAAATGTCTCTCTTGTGAAAATTCACGTGGTTCCGTGACAAGGCTAGGGACCAAATTTCTTACGATTTCACCCTCTCCGAAACACCAGGAACACAAATGCAAGTTGTCTCTTCCCTATCACCCAATCTTTGGACTAGCAGATTTGTACAAATATAAGAGAGCGAGCTCAAATCGATGGGTGGCTTTTCTAATCTAGGCAGGGATTCGGAGCTAAAGATTCCACCTTCGTAGAAGAGCTAATAAGATACTTATAATTAACTATTTAATAAAAGTCATACTATAGTCCAAGAGTAAATAATAACTAATTTATAGTATTTATAGATAAAATTCTAGCAAGTCCATAGCAACTACAATTTCTTGAAACATAATACAGAATTATATAATACACGTTAATTATCTACATTCTCATCGTCGATCGCCCCCCTTTCCTTGTAGAATTCATCCCACCACCAACTGCCCTTAAAACCGAATCATCTTTGCAGAAGTAAGAAAACGGGATATTTTGCCCGAACTGTTTGACAAAGTGAAACACAAATCATTCTTTGAAGAGTGTGGGCGCAAGCTGTCTGCTTCTACTTCTATTGCCTCCAACCGCATCATAGTACTGCCTTTTCCTCGACCAAAGAGATTTAAAGATACTTCTCCACATACTTCCATCGCAGTATTTACGACTCTCGTTTTCGGTGCGTGCTGTTCTTGCATTTCTCACCGCCGTGTCTTTATTCGGGGCTTGCGTTTGAGTCCACACACTTTCACGTATATTAGCCCAACCGCATGTCGTAATAAAAACCATTTCACTTACTCAAGAATCGTTGCCATATGTTCAGCTATAATCAATCTTCATGTGCATGAAAGTTCAGGCCGCTCCCTCCCAAAATACGTTCACTGGATATCGAAAACACTGCGCAGGCCGGTGGGCATCGCGTACCAGGCATAAATGCAAAGCAAAAAGATGGCTACAATCTTCAGAATTGGATATACAGCTTGCATGATGCAAGACATAATGGCCCAAACTCTACGTCCGATGAGAACAAAGCCTTCCCCAACGCTCATGTCATCGTGGGGAAAGCAGTCATTTGTTCCATTTTCGAAATGACCTCTATTCATCGATAAATCCGTGTTGAGATCATGTAACAATCTTTCCATAGGTTCGCGTGGTTCCCGGTTTGGTTTGAATCTTGGGTGTGCAGATTCGTTCCCTTCTTTTTCTTCGTCGTGAACGTCCAAGCGAGGGTCTGAGCTGCTGGAATGACTCGCACAAGATCCAAAAATTGCGGAAATCGAAGAATTCCCTCCAGTAGACCCGTTATCACCAACTGTAAGGGATGCTTGGGGTAGTACCTTGCGACCAGGGTTGAGGCGGGCGAGTGACAGCCATTTCTCTGCGGCGGGACGTACTAATTTTTCACTCCTGACTTGATCAACGTTCTTTAGGCCGCGCCACTCGATACGATGAGCACCAATTATCTGGTCTCTCATGAGCTTCATGAAGCGTCTCGCTAGGCTCTCAACCTCGCGTTCGCTAGGGCTATTGGAATACCAAAATCTAAGATCCACAAAGTTCTGAGGTAATTCGTCAATTGTGGAAGTTGATGTTGTGGCAATCGGAAAGTTGGGCTCGCTCAAAATAGGAGCGGGAGCAAGTATCAGTCGTTGATCACAGGGCTCGTTGCACTCCCCAACTGGAACGAGTTGATCAAAGCCTTCAGCTTTCATGATCATAGTCTGCAGTTGTAAAGTCGTGAACCTTTTTCCATCTTTCCATAGAGCTTTCAATGCCCAGATCAAGGCGGTGGTGAAAGAATTCGGTCCTGGGAATGCCGTTGTAGAATTGGGTCCGCAAGCGGCAATGCATTCGAAATTCCTACTCGAGTTAAATGAACGTCCATCCCGAATTATTAGGTTTCCTGCATAACAACAGTCAAAGATGAGCAAGGCATCACCCTCTGCATCCCTAATAATATGCTCCGAATTATGCCAACGGGCTGTGTTCCATTTCGTAACTTTCCCGTCCGGTTGTCGGTTACTGTCTTCGAGTTAAGTTGTTGTCCCACAAGTGATGTCTTTGACTAGGTGTCTTACCCTGCTAAATGAAGCTCACCGGGAATATTTGAAAATCCGTGTCCAGCGTAGTAAACAATAAGAAGGGTTTGTTCGCTCTCATACTGGAAGACGAAATCTGCAAGATACTTGTCAAGTTGTACTCCCGGTCGTTTGGTACCTGTAAGCTCTCTCTTGATGACCTTATAGTTGAATAACTCCTGGAATACACGCGCGAGCTCGTCAACTTCCCCCTTTGTCTTAAGATCATCCGTTGCTTCATCCCAGGATATCATGAGCACTGCTACATCTCGATGAGGCTTGCCTGTGAGCCCGAAGTCTTTCATCACCTCCTGCCATGTGTTTCTTAGATCAGCATCCACCCGAGCAGCATTTTCCTGCCCCTCGTTTTGGACTGAGGATGGCTCTTTTGTTCCTTGTGCCACTTCATCATTGGAATCTGCCCTAGGAACTTCGTGGAATGTTTCATGATGAATATAATTTGGTGGAATACCTGTCGACGGAAGAGTACAATTAGGCTCGGTGGTATCGCCGTTGAGTTTTGGTGTCCAGAGGAAGTCCATCGTGGGTGACATTTTTGTAGTCAAGAAAGGAGGCAGGGCAAAGGGTTGATATGTAATTCATCCGCGCAGTCCGCGCGACAGTAAGCGTATTAAATCCATTCGACGACCGTAGTCACTCTTGAACACAACGACTCAACTTGAGATACTTCACAGAGCCTCACCCAAAAGAAGGAAGAATATCAGCACACTTTGCCCTGGTTGAGGGCGCAGCCATTGTTCGCTGTTCCATCAAAGAATGCCTAATTACAAAATGGTGTTTCTCATTGGATACCGGAGAACTTTCACATCCAGGCAGTTCGGGGTAATGTTGAGGGCATACCATGGTTGATAGATCAGGCTTTGATCATCAGAGCCTGAGCAGTATGCCTTGACAGACTGCAAAGGGGCGGAGTTTTATGCTATCTTCTGTGCTGACAGATAGCAGATATGTTACAGCCGAGATATACAGGTAGATCTTATTCGTAAGGGGTTGCAGAGTGCAGATTGGGCTTGGGGCTGATGCTGGGCTGGCTGGTTGTGTGCAACCAACTCCAAGGGTGCGTCTAGCAATCATGCAACATCATTGGAGGTACATGGATGATATCTTACATCTGCAGCTACCACATGCGGAGGGAAGACTCGATCTATTGTTAGCGTGGTACTCTTCTACTCCTCCTCACATCGCCAGTGCTTTTTAGCCACTTTTTGCTGGGGAGAACTGCCCAACGTTCCCAATAAATACTACGAGAATGGCACAGTAGCTGCGATTAATCTAGTCAGTTGGGAATATTAAAGGAAGGGGGTTCTAGAGCTACATACGCGGCAGCAGCTGCTAGAATCTCCTGCCTTTTTGCTCGAGTGAACAGAGAAAGTGCGGCCGAAAATATGAGTGTAGCAACGAGGAGTACACCCATTATGATTGAAGTAGTTCTTCCGGTTTGAGTAATGCGAGTCATATGCCAGAGAACATAAACGGGAACAATCAATAAGGTCAAAATCATCGCGATGATGATTACAGATACAACAAATTCGATGGAAGCCCGGTTGTACAGTATAATTCCAGTTGCTTCAGGATTAGTCTTCCGATGGAGGTCCTGAAAATTACATCGTGAGCTAGCATCATGTTATAAAGAATACTGGTACTAACTGGGGTACAAAAAAAGTGCTAATAAATACGCAGTCAGTGAAAATGATGTTTTGCCTGAACAAAGTTTCGGTACATACCCCAGTAAATCTACACGACAATTTCTGCAGAACCTTCTCAACAAATGCATCCAGCCAAGCATTTTCGCGCCCCGGTTTAAGTGTAATGATATCTTCTTTGTAATATATATAGCCTTCGACGCTACACAAAGGAGATTCTTCCTCAAAGTAGCTCTTGACGCTTAGGTAGTCTCGATCAGGGGGTCGGTTGAAGCTTGCAATATCGCGGGTCGCAGCCAGAAGCTGTGCTGTACGAATAGTTAGTAATTGTTAATGAATAAAGCAAATAATCAGAAGGAGTTTGACAGTACAGTATTCCTTAAACTTCTGCTCAACGTTATAGAGAAGATTCTTCCGACGTTCGCTTAATGCAGCATCCTTTTCTCGAGAACGCAAAACTTCTGGATCTTTCCTCTCGTCTACTTTATCCATGCGATCGAGATCTTTTTCAAGTTCTCTTAACTCATCTTGCTTGTTTAGGAGGATTCGAGCCTGCAGAAATCCAAACCGTCGATACAACATAAAGTTCTCGTCACAGTCGAGAAGTGCTGCTAGTCGTGGATAGCCCTCTGGGCATTGCTCTACTATAAACATATTAGCCATGAAAATGAGAGTTTTGATATCCTGTTGAACGTGCTACATACAATTCCTGACAATTGTTTCACTTGGTTCTACCGACGATTGAGTTTTAGAAACCACAATATTTCGTAAGCGTGCGAGAACAAGTTGTAGTTGTCGAAGAGGTGTTCGAATGGCTCGTGACCTCGGCATTGCTGTGAATTCGGGACTTAGACCTTGGGTTGTTCTTCTGAGTCTTTTGGACAAATATTACCAGTTGGGAGAAGCTCATCTCTATGTTTGGTACTCTGTTGAATTGATGTTTTTGTTGATGCAGAGCTGGTTGATTCCGAGGTACTCGGTTTTACCCCGAATGCATTTGACTCCCCCTTTTCCATCATATCATCAACGTCCGCAATTTGAGGCATTGTGCAATCGTTTTGAAGCCTATATTCAACGCGAATATCTTTTTGGTTCAAAGACAAATATACTTGGCAAAAGCCGAAGCCTACGAGGGTGGCCATATCAATTTAGGACGAGGCTACGCTAATTTTACCGGGTGGTGGTGTCAGAAGGCTTACATGTATGTACGAAGCCCTTTTATTGGTAAGAAATGACTTCAAATTGATCCAATCCAGCTACATGCATCCCAATTTTCTGACGCTCTGCATAATACACCGCTTTTGTACACTCCTGCTGCTGCCCTACTTTTCACTCCGTTCCAAGTCATTTTCTCCGACGAGCTTCCCGTAAAGTTTACCGTCAGTCTGCCTCACTTGATATTTCCACTGCCTTTCACTAGTATCCCACTCCCCCTCTGTCTCAATAGTGACCTTAAAAGAGCCATATTCTCCTTCAATAGTCATCCAAGCATCTTCCGCCTTGTGGTAGATTGGACTAGGCTGTTCACTGTCAACTTGTGAACGCGCATATAACTTTTACCACTTTTACTAACCCGTCTGTTCCTCTGCTTGAAAGGTGTTTTATAAGATCTTGTTAGAGGTTCCAGTATCAGTTCCTAATGGACGTGAGTATATTGCGACGGGAGATGATGACGAGACGCACCAACCTTTTGATCGAACAACCCTTCGTCCGACTCCAAGAACACCTTGCCAGGCTGCATCACAAGGAGCCCGTCATGCAAAGTGCGCCTCTCAAGTGAAGCTTTAAGCTTTTTGCGTGATGAAAAGTCTGCCTTGAGAAAAAATGGCGCAAGGCCGGGCAGATTCTCCTCGATCATCCTATAAACGCACAGGAATAATACGGTCAGGTTGCTGTTGAGACGAAGCATCGTGAAATCTGCCTTGCCGTAATGAAACAGGCTGTAAGACGACCGAAGCAGTTCGAAATGTGTGTCGTAACAGGGAATGAGGTCTGTCTATGGTTGAAAAGGAAGAAAGGATGGACAACGAGGAGAATATGGGACATGAGACGCGGCCTGAAGGACGAAGAGTCACACAGGTGTGCTGGCACCTGCCATTTCCAGCTAATCAACCATTCTACCTACGATCTGCAAATCTTTGTGGGTTCCCTGTTTTCAAGACACTAGAAATGATGTTGTCCAATGACAGAGCGAAACACGCCACCGTAAGGTATATTAAGGCTTGAAACCTCATCGACCAGCTCCAAATAAGCAGTCTTTCTCACTTTAATATTGCTTTTAGCTAGTATTTTCTGCTGTTCTGCGTATTTACACTAGGATAAAGAGCTAGTCATATACGCGGCATATATCCTTACCACGCGAAACAGTCCTCACTATCAGACTTAAGAAAGGCGAGTATATAGCCCTGAGTAGTATATGTGTCTGGATACGCCTGCGAGTCTTTATACTTATATTGATTTACTAAATCGCCGACCCTCGGCCGTTTGACATTGATTTGCAGGCCAACCTAGGGATCGAAGGTCCCCAATTCAAAGAGGTAGCGGGCCACCATGCGATGCAGCTGAGGATTCTCTGTTCTGGAAAGAGGCCCTTGTAGGGACTAGCGCCAGGGGGGCAGTGTCGGTTCTGGATAAGCGACTGAGGTGACAAGAACGCACCAGACATTAGATAAAACCAGCTGATAGGTCAGTCGACATACGCACTCGATCAATTGTAAAAGCGTATTGTCGAGGGAGTAACAACAGGGACAATTGGTAGCACTGATTTATGCTTTCTAGATGTGTTCCTGGAACACGTTTCTATGAAGCACGGCCAACAGCTTACAGATATCCACAAGCTTGGGGTGGTAGAGCGAGTTTCAAAACATACTGAAGCTCTTGCTGCTATGTACACAGAGTACATTCCACACAGCCTCTACAAAGGAACCAATATTATGTTTCGACAAATAGCAAGACAGTGATACGCATTGCCAATATACTATTAAAGGCGAGTGGGTCAAAGCTTAGACACCTGCTGGCATAAAAGAAATAACAGACAAGATCTAAAACTTTTAGATATATCTCCAGGATGCGAAGTCTTGTTTAATTGCGTCTTATACTTGATTGAGGGAATGCTACAGAATCTGGTAATGAGCCTTACCATGGCGGGGTAATAACAGGTCTGGACACTCCCCGGTTCATGTCCACTTGACGATGTTTCTGAATGGCCTTGCGGACGCTGAATGCGGCAGAAAGATACCCCAAGCGTACTGTGCCGGGCGGTATTAAGGGGCCGCGGCTGTGGTCGTGGCCCTTGTGTAACATGGACATTTATTGTGACATCTACATAGCCGTATGACTTTTCCAAACCCAACGCCGCTTCTACGAATACAAATAAACAAACGCTAATCAATGTAGCCCAGGCCAGCCCAACCACGCTCATAATGCATCAAAGCGTCTCCATCTCTCCAATCCAATCCATTCCACATCACCAAGTCTTCTCGAAATCCGGCACAACGACAAACTTCCCCATCATCATTCCCATACCTGTCCCGACACCCCGCTGTTCCCTCTCCTCACCCGGAACCGCACCCACGCCATCAATCACATACCCGGCGCCTAGGAATCCCGTGTCAGTGCCTCTCTGTACAAGCATATCCGTATTGCCCCATTGGATCTCGACGCGTCCGCTCTTGCGCACGATCATTTTGCCAACCGCGCCAATTTCGTCAACTGGCTCTTCATTCAGGTGAGACGTGTCTTCTTCTGGCTTGATGATTACTTCGCCTCCATCTTCGACTTTGATGGGGGCGGGTTTGTTGGAGGAGCTAACTGCTTCGACTTCTTTGTCTTTTTCTGATGCAGAGGGGGCTTTAGACTTCTTCTGTTTCGTGGCCGGGTTATAGAGTTTCGTTAAGACGCCGGGGAGTTGAAAGAGATATAATCTTCCATCTTTTTTGTCCACACCTCCTGCATCGCCTTCGGCACCACTCATCGCCACATCACCACTTTCCTGAACCCTCGCTTGCATACCCCCCAGCTCCTCGGCCAGGACTTGGACATCGAGGAGGTGGCGCTCGTATTCTGCTCTATCTTCATCTGTTTGCATAACTGGCTTTTCATCTTTTTTCTTGGTGGCTGAAGGTTTGCGTTTTGGTTTTTTGGGAGAGTCGAGTAAGGCGGAAGCTGGTTCTTTGCCTTTGCTTTTGCGTTTCGAGTCTGGAGATGAGGGGGGTCCTGGTAGAGTAATTTCTTCGGTAGGTTCAGATTTGACGCCCGGGGCGGTAGGTTGACCAGAACGCTCTTCGTCGACCATGGGGACATCCGAGTCATCGCTTATATTGACAGCGTCGGGATCTTTCTTGATCGCTGACTGAGCTTCTGGCGCTGGCGCGGTGTTGACGATTGTGACTCGCTCCTTGTGCTCTTCTCGGTGAAGACGAACGGGTCTGAGACCACCAGTAGCAGCAGAGCTTTTGCCTTTTCTGTCGACCTTTCTACTGCCTGTCACAATGACATCATTGTCGCTCTCGTAGTTCTTATTGATGTCCTCGATGTCGACTCGTGGCGAATCGTCGTATTCTTGGTCTGGATATTGCGGCTCAAAGTATTTCGATTTGCTATCTCTTGCACCACCACCTCCTCCTCCACCTCCTCCGCTACCTCCACCACCGCCACCTCCTCCGCCTCCACCTCCGCCCCCTCCAAGGATACCTCCATCAGTCTTGAAAAAGTCACTCGTCGCAGGACCCGTAGACCCGTAATTTGTGGATCCAGGGATATTCTCCCTCTCCATGGGACGTATTCCATGCTCTATAAAAAGCCAAACATTAGCCTCAGTCACATAATTCTTGAAGCAAATCATAACATACCCAAAGCCCCAGGCAGCGTACTAAACATGCCCTCGTTCCCCCCACGCACAGCGGTAAACCTCCTGCCCATTGTATCCCCTCTACCGCGTCCAGCCTTCCCTCCTCTTCCCAATGCAAACGCCGCCTTCTTCTCCCTACTCTCCTCCACCTTCTTCACCCTCTCATACTCTAACCTCGCCAGCTCATCCCGCTCCGCTTGTCCTCTGCGTACAGCTTTGGGTTTGAATTTACTGGGCCCGGTGGGTGGTTTAGGCCCTGTCGCTCGTTGGGAGGGAACGCGGACGGGGGTTGGGGCGGGGGTTTCTGTAGGGATGGTTGCGGGGGAGGAGTTGGGGGATTGGAGCTCGTTCTGCGGGGATGTCGTGTTTTGTGCTGCAGGCTTGGAGGAGGAGGATTCGGCGACAGATGGGGCATCTGCGGCTGCTGGTGGTGGTGGAGGTGCTCGTGAGGCTGCAGTTCCTGCCCCTCCTCGACCTCGGCCTCTGCCTCGCGAGCCTTTCGGTGGCATTGTTGCGGTTGGTGGAGATGCTCAATTGATAAGAGATTGAGACTGGTATGTCACGGCATTGGCATGCTGTTTGTCGTTATCGTGGAAGAAGTTGAAGGCTGTGTGATTACATGGTCCATACATGAGTTGAAGTAGAAGAAGCTCTTGGTGGGGGACAACTTTTTTGATTTCAGCCTTCTGGCTCCACTTTTATCTTATTGGCCAGTACGGACGACAACATACTTCTCCTTTCCTTCTGCATGCTTCTTCTTCAATGCACGAACACTAAGTATATCTTTATATCTTACATATACAATTTGCACAAAAACATGTCTTAAATGATCTTGATCTTGTATGTCTCTGCTACACGTTTTAATCAGGTCTGTTTCTCGCTCAATGAAAGCGGCGGTACTGCCTAGCTTCTGAATACTGAATGCACATTGTTAATCTTTGGATAGACAATAACGGCCAATTACTAAACTGTACTCAAATGCCAAGGACTATCTTTGATATGTGTCAGTGTTGAATTGTAGCCTGTGCTAATAAACGACAATGGGGTGATGCAACGCTGAGGTGAGCAAAATTTTACAAATTATGCCTTCTTATTTTATGTATTCTACTATAAGACTCTTAATCCAGATCAATTTCTCTGCGATTAGACCCAACCCATCTCTATAGAAAGCTGTTCATCTCAGATTCATTCCTCCACCTCACCACCCTCTTTTTTGCTAATCCTATTCAATCCCATCGCAAATGCTAGAAAGAACGTTGCGGCAGAAGCTGCTGCCACCAAATAAAAGTTATCATTAATACCCTGCTGATAAGCCTTCAGTACGCCAGGAAGGTCTTGTGGGTCCACCACATGACGGATTGCAGCTGCACCAGCCTCCTGAACGGTATGCGCCTAACCGTAAAGTTTAGAAGTTAGTATTTGTCTTTATTTAACTTGAAGTGTTGATATGATCTTGAGTGGCTCTGATTGTATAGAGAGAAAGCTATGAGATATAGAACTTTGCTATACGTACACTGACTGTTGGTGCATATTTAGCCAAATTGGTTATAAGACTATGACTGAAGATTGTCTGGGCGAAAGCGAGGAAGACTGATCCACCCAGTGTTTGGGAAAAGACTATAAGGGCAATGCCTAGAAGTTGATAAATCAGCATATATAGAGTCATGGGCAAATCATCGACTGAATAGCTAAAGGTGAAAACGTCCAAAATCTTGGAACGATGTCGCACAATGTTCTAATCAAGCAGATCAAAAGCTCCTGGCAATGTTTAGGTTTGAACTTATCGTTGAACTTGTCGGGAGATTTCAAATATGCTCAAAAGCACTGGAGTTCTCGCCTCTGACTTGTATGGCTGCGCCTATGCCCTATGGTCACCTACCAATTGGATTTTGTTGTGGCGGCAGAATATTTTGAACCGCAACGATGGGCTAGATTAACAGATTAGTACAAAGATTATTTGAATAATTTCTCAACAGAAGGGCTATTTACCATTTGAATGCCAAATCCACGTCCAATACCCAACAGTATCTGGTAGCCTATCCACTTGGAAGATGGGGTACTTGGACTTAGCATTGATAGTAAGCCGCTGCCGATAGCAACAAATACCCCGCTGACCATGCTGAAAGGGTAGTAATGGTGTATCTTGCCAGCTACAATGATATTAGTGTCATCATAATAGCATCGACTTCTAGACTCACCTATAACGCCTGACACGGCTGCGGCAATCATCTGGCTCAGGATGCTTGGTAGCATGTATACGCCACTCAACGACGGAGAAATACCTCTTACGGCTTGGAAATATATCGGCATGTAATATGTGAACGTCATTACTGCACCAAGGAAGAGCCCCGCATAAATGCAACCGGACCAAACCACTCGATGACCGACGATTGAAATGGGGATCATGGCGTTCTCTCCCACATAATACTCCCAAATTACGAAAGGTATCAATGTAACACCCGCTCCACAAAAGAGCCCGATGATTGTCGCACTGCTCCATGGGTAATCCGTCCCACCCCACTGAAGAGCCATGAGTAGCATAACTGTTGCAGGTGCGAATATTAGGAATCCTGTAATGTCGAGTTTCTTTGCCAGACCGATAATGGTGAGACGAGGAGCGTTATTGGTACGATCAATCCGATCGGGTAGCTTGATTAGGAGGAGGAAGAGTGCAGCCACACCACCGATTGGCAAGTTGAGGTAGAAGCCTAAAAGATCAGTAAAGTTGCATATCATATTGATACAAGGAACATACACCATCTCCAGGTTGAGTATTGCGCCAAGGCCCCCCCGAGCATCGGAGCAATGACTATACCACTCTGGGATATTGATATCATAATCCCCTGCATTGCGGGTCGTTTCTCCATAGGAACAGAAGCTCCAATAATTGTGAATGCTCCATTTGTCAAACCAGATCCTCCCATCCCGGCTACTGCCCGGCCAATTATGAGCATTGTAGAAGAACGGGCAGCGCCACATAGAACCGAACCTAGTTCGAACACGGCTAGGAAGCACAAGAACGAGTACTATGAAAAGTTAGCAAAATCTGAAGCAATAACCTTTTCTCCGAAACAGTCTTAGGCTAAAAAGATATCAAACCCTCGAATAGCCGAGACGCTATTGAGGGCTTGCAACACCTGATAACGTTGTCGATGAATATGCAAGGAAATTATTGGACCCATTGACTGACCTTGGAGCTGAATTGAGAGTATATTTTTCCTGTGAGCGGCTGAAGAACACAACTAATCATACAGTTAGTCTAACAAGCGCTAAAGTTTGAAGCCTGAATTTACATTGAGAGTAGATACGCACTGCCATACCATCCAACATCAGACAAGGCATGAAAGTCACTAGTGATTTGTGGAATGGCCTAGGCATGAGTTAGCATACACTAATTGCAACGGTGCAGCTCCAATATCCTGCATTTGTGCGAAATGGTTCAAGACGACGAACGTCTACTCATTATTACAGATTAAACTCACGGTGACGATGATGCTCTCATCCACCATAAGGAGAAAGACAGTAAGAGTGACCGATATGAACACGAGCCAAAGCTTCACGCCGGTGATATATTCATACTCGGGTGCAGGTTGCCCGGGATCGGTCAAGGTTGAAGAATTTGGTCGTTTCTCGGGATCAACTTCTGCCGCGACATCACCTTGGGGATGGCTCCCTTCATCTTTTTCTGTTTTCGTCATTCTGGATTGTTCGTGCAGGTACAAGTGAGGAGCGATAAAAATGGTTTGGAGGTTGGAAGAGTTAAAAGGATTTGCTGCGGTGTACTAGCCCAGCTTCGGGGGAGTTGTGAGCGAAATATTATAGCCAATGGGTTAAGACATCAAAACACAAGAATGTGAAAGACGAGATGAGAAGTGGGGTTTCATGACGAAAGACCACCAATTTAACCGGTGCTTGGAACGTTTATTTATGAATTGCGCAACATTTACGTCCTTATGGGATTTCATCCATCAAGTTTGCATGGATTCCGTTGGTGCCTAATATATGCCCCCACCAAATATGTACGAATAATGCAAGAACATCAAGCACGCTAGAAATCTCTCTCTGGGGAGTGGGATCTTTGAAGACGATAATTATACTTGGATAGCTTTCAAGGTTTTTATAAGTTTGAGAACGGTAAACAATTACACAGTAAGGCGTGAAAGCCCAGCTCTAGGGATGTTATAGCATTGTTAGGTAGCTTATCAGTTACATATTAAGATTACATTATGTTTCCTTTGCAGAGAGAGCTTCACGTCGTATCAAAGTCTACTCTCTGGATAGGTATGCATCTGATTAACATGCGCCGCATTCCCTAGCGGGTTATTGGCCAACTCTTCTTCTTCTTCTCCCACCTCGGTGGCTAGAATCATAACCCACCACCTATTAATAGGCACCAATTTTGAAGATTGGAACTCGCATTCTTGCTTGGAGGCTTTCTACCACGCGCAATATGGAATGTAAGTAAACGGATATACTTAACCGGAATGCGGAATCCGATATTAAAATTTGTGTTAAATACTTAACAAGGGTTTTCTCTTCGGGTGAGGTGGGTTACTGTTGTTTTTAGGCTTTGGTTTCTTTTGAGGGTCGACCACGTTCACGATAGAAGAGGGTGGTGCGGGCGACCTTGCCCTTCTTCGACAGGACAGTATATATTTTACGTTCTCCTGGTGCAATAATGTGTTCCTATCAGTATTACACTAGAACAATAACCTAGGGTAGGCTTTTTAGACTATTGTTCTATAAAATATAACTAAAATATATCATCTTTAGCTACCTAGTTAGGTACCTATGTACCCACTCGAAAAGGATATAACTTTCTAAAATTAGAAACTAGGTACCTAAGGAGCAAAGGTGGAAGAGACGAGGGAATATCAAGGGGATACTATATCAACTTTGGAGGAACTCTTTAGTAAGTCATCTGAAAATCTGGTCACTAAATACCTAGGTAGGTACATCGGTACCTACCATTGAAGCTGTGTAAGGCGACAGCTTTAATATAGAGGGTTGGTGCCTGGAACATGCACGGGGCTCGCTTATTTTAGACTCGTAGGAGCGCTAAAAGTTAGGTAACGATACCTTGACCCCCACTAAACAACGTCTGACACCTCTTCAAGACAACGGTAAAAAGTTTTGTCCTTCAGATATATCCAATGCTTATACTCAAGCCGACTATGTTCTCCTAAACCTCAGAATGTCCATCTCATACATTGACAGGGACAACTCTGGCCCATTCACAAAACATGCTCTCTCTAAGCTCATCACCTCCTTTCTAGATCCCGAAGACCCTTCTCCCGCAATTAGCAAAAGTCTACGTCTAGCTCATGTTCTCTTGCTATCCAATCACCTTTCCCTTGCGCATCAATTGATAAATGCTTTGTCCAAACATGCAGAACACATTGTCCCCACAGGCCCATACCAAACATCACCTCTCAACTCAACTCTTGCCCTAGCCAACTTCTGGACGTGCCACACTGAATACCCCCAGCCTCCAAACACCCGCTTCGTCACCAAAGACCTAGCACGCAGCCAATGGGGAAAATACCGTGAGTGTACCCGCACGGGCTGGATGCTAGAGCACTGCAAGCTCCCCGAGCCCGCCAATCCGCACATATGGCAAAAGACAGACGACGCGACCGTTCTGGCCATGTGCTGCCGTCTGCTCGCCAAAGACAAAACAGATGGGCAATACCCGTCTCAAGAACGCATGAAGGAGGCGCTCGAGGTGGCGAAAAAGCTGTATGCGCAGCCGCAAGTACCCATCACGGAATGGAAGTTCGAGAAAGGTGTGAGGAGACATGGAGAGCTGCTGTACTGGCGGTTAGTCGTGGAACTTGCGATCCGGGTAGGAGAGTTGGAAACTGCGGCGGATGTGCTGGGGATGGGGCTGCGACTTGATGGATTTAGCACGTATAACGGAAGTGATGTGATAGAGTACCTTGCATTGCCGGGCATTTGGGATGTTTTGCCTTTATTAGCGAAAAGGGGCAAGGATGCAAATCCGTTTTATCTTGAGGAAGAAGATGCGGAAGTGTTGGTCAAGGAAGTGATTCAGGCGATAGAGCTGAGAGCTAGGAACGGGAGGCAGTGGTCACTAGCACCGGAGAAAGTGGGCTGGAAAGAACTGTTGAGGAGACTCTCTGTGGGGGCATGGAAGGTTAATCGGCCTTGTTATAAGCGGAATGGCATCAGGCGAGCGGAAGATATACTGTATCCTCCTGCGACTGAGGAGGAGATCGAAGCAGCTGAGAAAGAAATTGGGGAGCTACCGGCCGATTTTAAAGACATGGTCCGCATTGCGAATGGGTAAGTCATCTTCTCAGTGCTCTTACATTGGAAAAGGAAATATGCCTAATCTAAGGCCTGTGATAGGTTCCAGGGAGGATGGCATTTCCTCAGCGGTGGGATCGCTGGCATCCGAAACCTCACGAAAAGTACTGACCAAGATCTGGACAATATTGCCTTAGACTTTGAAGACCTAGGTATGACACAAGACGGCCTTCTCTCTGAGGTGATGCTTGAACTGGAGCCTGGAAACGAGTGCGATGGCTTCCAACATTATATCATGCCACCGAAGACTTGGAAGGAGAATATAGTAGGCCGGGAAGTCAGGGATGGTGAATATCAATACTGGAACGCAGCATCTTGGCAAGGTGGGATAAATAGATACGACTCGGTTAGAGATTGGGTTGCTTGCTGTGTGGAGGAGGTGGAAGATATGGCTGCTAGGGGTGAGGTGGCGGATCATTCTGAAGGTGAAGATGAGGATGAGGACGAGGATGATAGCGGGAACGATGAAGACGACAAGCCAGAGAGTGAACAGTTAGAGAAAGGTAATGGCGTGTCTGAAGTTGTTGAGAAAGAAAGTTCGATGAGCGAAGATAGCTGGGTGAAAGTCGATGACTAGTATGGCAAGTGGGTTGCTTCGGATTTATTTAAAATGACGAGGTCTAGCCATAGAACCAGGTAACCCTTGCATACAAAATAGTTATAAATAGAGATGGCAATACTGTATTATGCTTATTGTTTTACATACCCTTAGTTTCTATTACGCGATAAAGCCTTTCCTTCTCTCAAATGAAATTATCGTGAACGGGGGAATGGCCGTATCTAGGTATTAAGAAATCAAAGTAAAAGTATTGACTTAGTAAAAACACAGCCGAGTTCCCCTGAATACTGTATACCGTACAGAGTAGGGACCAGGGGGTTAGGCTGCAGCGGCCCCCCAGGTTATCCACACAGTACTTGTATTCTCAGCCCTGTAGGAGGATTCCAAGTAGTTCGTATCTGCGGCATACGGAGAAGGGCTTCACGTGTCCGCCTCTCGATATCGCGCGTCTTGTCCTCAGCCCGCTTCTTCGGCACCGGTGTGGGAGTACAGATACGATGTGCGGGATCTGGGAAATGTTGCAGCTGGTCTCGGCGTGCCGCATACGATACGTGGGAGATTGACGCTGTGTCCCTAGGGGACCGGGGTTTGCTGTGCTGCTAGTGCGTATAGGAGCAATTCGTACGCGAAGGTTGATGCTTCGAATGTCGCGGTGGTTCAAGGGTATTAGTGGAGTTTCGTTAGGGAGTTGGATCCGAATTCTTGTAGGGCGATGGGGAGTCCTGAGTGGAATTGAGCGGTTTGGTGGGGATGGTTGGTTGCTTGTTCAGATGAATGCTACGAGGATGGAGAAGCAGGATGAGAACGGGGGGGAGGGGTGTCGTTTCTGGAATGGGATCACTGATGGTTTACATTAGTAGGAAATTTCTCTTTCACCCTCATCCACAGCGACGACCGCTTAACATTTATGTCACCACTACTCCAGAAACCAAACACGCAAATCAAAACAAATTACTCATATTATAATCTCAAATTAATATAGCACGCACACAGTGACTCACCCACCCATTATATAAAGAAATCTCCCAGAAACAAAACCTCTCAAGTCCCCGAGGGCCCAGCATGCCCCTCCCCCTCCCCCACAGCCGGCACCACCCTCTGCACCTCCTCGGCCCCAATCCTCGTCCCCGGAAACTCCTTCCGATCCGCCTGCCTCCTCAAAACCATGCCCTCAATCTCGCTCGACTCATCGATCAAGCGATAAGAATACGAGAGCGGATTCCGCTGTCCGATCCGATGAACGCGCGCATATCCCTGTAACTCACGCACGAAATGGTGATCCGGTTCCATCAACACGATATTGGAAGCGCGCGTGAGCTGGAGGCCGACGCCTAGGAGCCGCGTGGTGCCGATTAGGATCTGCACGTCGCGCTTCGAGGCGGTTTTCTCTTTGCCGGTGAAGGCGTTGATGGTTTCGGATTTCTCTTTCAGCGTCATGCGGCCGGTTACGAGACCGACGCGGTCTTTTTTTTCGAGGAAGTAGGCTCTGATGAACTGTTTGGTGTCAGTTGATATGCCTCATCAATGATGGGTTGGGGGGTGAAGACTGCTTACCAATTTCAAGATAAATGCTATTTGAGGGAACTGCGTGATGATGAGGAGTTTTTCTTCTTCCCCGTTGACATCTTTCTTACCCTCAAGGCTGTGGATAAACTCGTATAGCCACAAGGCTTTTGGACTGTGTTCAGCGATGCTTACGAGGTTTCTGAAGTATCCGTTGTCTTTTTCTTTGTTGTCGGATCCCCTCAGGAACAAGGCTTCTTGGTCAGTCAAGGACATCTTGGTATCGGGGCCTGAAGTAGCGACGTTCAAGAGGAAGGGAAAGGTTGCTAAGAGACTCGATCTCCATGACTTTGCACATAGTGTGTTGAATGCTAGTTGTGTAGGTCGAGTATTAGAGCGCCTTGCGTCGGGCTCATTGTCGAACTTCTCCTGCAGCTTGGCGAGCAGCTCATCCTTCTCAGCTTGATAGCTGGCCTCAAAAGCTTCGATCTCCTGGGGAGTGAACAGTGGGTTCTTTTGCTTGACTCTTATGTCTTGATGGATATGCGGCTTGAGTTTGATGAGTGGATGACCGAACCACTTCGTATTTTGATCTCTTCTCAGCACAAATGTTCGCAAGAAAGGCTTGAATTCTTCCAGGACTCTGTCGATCCCGTCGTTGCTTATTTTTTTGAGATCTTTCTGGTTGTTGAAGTCCAGGCTAATCTGGTTAAGTCTTGCCCATGAAAACTGAGGGTAATTGGAATGTTTCGCCCCATGGCTCTGCGTGTGCCTCTCGATCGCCCAGAGCACACCCTCTAAGCCTCTAGGAGATTGTGAAATCGGTGTTCCAGAGTATCCCCAAACAAAAGGACTGTTGGCCGGTGGAAGATCAAGAAGAATCTTGTTCCGAGCGGTGTTCCGGGTAAGATCTTCATGGCATTCATCAATCATGGCGATTCCGAACACAAGGTTAACTCTTTTGCCTTTCTTCCAGTTGCCAGCTCCATCAGCTTTGACCATGCCATCATACTGAAAGTTCTTGACCCAAGTTGGGAAGTTCTCTTTGGTAGTCAGTACCAACCACCCGTCTTGGTAAGGCTTCGCGGTGTCATCTCCTTGACCACCTCTGCCCTTGAACCTATCTGCCGTGGGTCTGGTCCGCGATCTCCCACTATCGCTTTTACTGAGCAAGTCCTCAGAAGAGGTGTTGTTGTCAAATGCCCCTTTATGGTCAACAATGATGTTCAACGCAAGCTCCGCCACACCGGTATCGACATGTGTCTTCCATTGCTCCCACCACGAGCGTACGAGCGCGCTAGGGACACAAGCGAGGCGCAGACCAGACTTAGGCCGTAGTCGCGACGTCAAACTCGAACGACTACATGGGCAAGTGATCCAGCCAGCTTTTGATCCTGAAGGACAAGGGGCTGCGCTTTTTTCATCTTCTGGAAGATGCTGCCCGTTCTTTAGCTGTCTTGATTTCTGGACCTGCTGCCATAGACATGATAGCTGTCTCTCGACAACCATGTAGGCGATAAAAGAGAGAGTCTTTCCGAGTCCCATGTCATCGGTCACGAAACCACCCCCGACCTGTCTAGACGTAATCATTTGCCAGCTGGGAACAAGTTAGCGAGTGCTTCAGCAGAGGCCAACAAAGTCAAATCAAGAGTCTAAAGGCATGCATATGACGTTCACTGAATAGAGGAAAGTGAGATGACTACATACTAAATCCCAAACGCTTGATATTGGTAAATCCGAGTCTTCAAGCCGGCAATAGTAACAAGCTCCTCAATTCCCGTCCTTTTCGGATCAATGCCAAACAGCTCACAACACTCATGCCAGCGAAACAGGTTGTCTTCTGGATGTTCTGGGTCTTGAAGCTGAGCTAGCTCTGGCAGACTAAGCAATCCTTGAAGCCTTTCGAATTGTCAGCTTTGACTCTAAGAATACTTTAAAGATGGAAGAATAATTGATGGTGGCTTGCACTAGTAGTTGCATTCGCAGCTTTCGAGGGATTCAGAAAATCAACGGGATAGACTTACTTCGTGATCGCTCTGTCTTCTTGGGAGACATCGTCGTCTGCCTCTTCGACTTCAGCTTCATCCTCATCATCATCCTTCTCAATAGCAGCAATCACACTGATACTATCATCTTCCACCTCTTTCTCTCCACCTTTCTTGAAGACAATCCTCTCCTCCTCTTCCCAAAGAGACTTCAACCGCTCACGTCTCTCCGCCGGCGTTTCTCGCCCTGTTACCCTTTTCCTAATCTTACCTCCGACCACAATCAGAGTATCACTGAGCCTGGATCTCGGGCGGTCTTCGCCAGACTTTTTGTTCACAGGGCTTTGAGGGGAGCGCGGTGAAGTAGGCACAGATAGAGCTGTGCTCTGCGAGCTCAGGGGTCGTCGTTGATTTGGATCTGGATCGGTCGCAAAATGTGTGCCAAATGAGCCGAGTTGCAGAGGCGAAAGACTTAGCTGGTTGTCAGAAAGGTGGTCTTCCAGGTCTAGTCCAAGACCTTTCGGACTACCGGACTCTGCTTCGACAGCCGCCGAATCGAACTCTGCCTTCTCGATGGCTTGGAGACGCATTCTCTCCGCCTTTTCAGTCTCGGCTTTGAACGTGAATGGCAATATCTCATCTTCATCACGCTTGTGGAAGAGATGATTGATAGCAACCTCAAAGGAGACTTGGTCATAGACCGGTCTCTGGTCCAAGCCATCCCTAGTAACATACTCAAAGGTGCCATACTCCATATTCAGAGGTCGTCCGGTTATGATTTCATTGATTTTCTCTTGCATGACGCTTTTAAAAAGCCCAAAACTATAGCTAGTCGCAACATTGGCCGCGTATTCTTTGCCGGGAACCAGAAATCTCGCAAAGGCAATCTCATACGGCAACGGGGCGATGCCTGATCCTTGGAAAACTCCAATGCCAACTGTCATTTTGCCAAGCTCTGTATACCTGACATTATTCTCGAAAACTTCAATTTCGTGGCTCCGGTAATATTTATCTTTCTCTTTCTGTTTCTGTTCTTCCTTCTTTTTGGAGGAGGAGCCAAGCTCCCTAAACCTTTTCAACATCTTGTTGACCAAGAGGAATTTGACTGTAAAGAATATTATTCTTATCGCAATATCTTCTATTAACCTTGTGAATCTGTAAAAGCGTGAGTTTCAGCGATGAGAAAACTGCAAAATTATGTCTGTAAAGTTTCTAGAGAAAATACTATGTCCAAGAAGATGGGGCGGCTTTGTACTCAATTTTCAAAGCCTTTAACACTCAATAGAAATGCATTTATCTTTGAAATGCAGCTGCGTTCGGAAGTGCTCTCGTATAACAAAGAACGGTTAAACGCAACGCATTTTGTACATATCAAAGACTGCAAGGTACGCGGAAAAATGCATTTGGACAACAAAGAAAAACATCACAGGAGCGCAGCAAGTGGAACTCGACGGATGTGAAAGAAAGGAAGGTTGTGGTGTGCAATAAAGGCATCACTTGGAACCAGTTGGAAGGTCGATTTGAGGGCTATCATGTGACCGGTGTTAACAAATATGAAAAAGAAAAGACATATGAATGTGATACGAAGTAGCAGTTTTAGAAGTCTCTTGAAAAGAATGGAAAGGCACTGGCAGAAATAGAGGTTGATCAATAAGTCGTGAAGAGAAAGTAGAAAAGAGTGATGTCTAGCGCGGGCATTCAAGCACGTCCCTGGCAAGGAGAGGCAGAAACTCCTTAGCCTAATATTCTCCGATGAGAATACGTATGGCAACGAGAATGTTTAGCGCTTGCTTATCATGCGCATGGACAAGTAAAAATTATCGTGAAAATAGGTATTGGTCGATGCTCTGACTGGCCCTCCTACTCCTACCACGCAACGCCACACGACGCAAGCTCGGGCAGCGATGCCAAGGCGATTTATCTGTCCATAGGGCAAACCCGCAAGTGACAATGGCTTCAATCAATTCGACTTCTCCTAATCCATGATTACTGAAATGAAGCGGTTGTTTAGTTGCTCTGTGTCCGAGTTCCTTGCATGAAAAATGACGTCCCAGCTTCTTTCCGATCCATTCTCCTTCAATTGCAAACCTCTCCATTACCGAACGCGTAAATGAACCGACGAGACTCGACATCGCGATCATGAATGAAGGGCTTGTCAAGCAGGATTTTGAAGTTGTGAACAGCATGGGCCACGAGAAAGCATCCATGTCGACTTCAATACCTGTCCACGCTCCTCGGCATTCTCATCCTACCAGCCCTCAAAGCGAAATCTCTCCATAGACTCCCGGCCGTCTCTTGGTCGTTGGTTCCGGGATAGCCCTCGCGGCCAAAATCCATAACCGCCACGAAAATCTACTGCTGATATCTTTCGATAACCCCGCGAGATGGAACAACAATGAGCAATATGCCTCCTCCAAGCTGCTGTTCCATTACCTCATTATCAAGTTCGCAGCGTATGTTGACCCCCAAAAAGTTATTATCAACCTCGTCAAACCCAAAGCTTTGCAAAGCTCGGCTCTACCGCGAGATGTGACGAGATCCTGTTTGCAAAGACAGCTGTTTTGGTCGGTCGTGACCAGTTGTAATAATGATAATCCTGTTCAAGACGACGTCATTCAGGCGCTTGGATGATACTTCTTCAGTTTTATGTAATTCTGTTGTATGTAGTTCTGGCCCATCAAGATGTCGACTAATCTTGAGCTTTCTTTCGTGATATTTGAGCCCTATATGTCGATTTCAGAACTGCGTAATGTCTGCAGTAAGTTTTCAGTTGCGTTTTTAAAAGCATCCTTTCCACCTTTATCATGCAGAACGTCAATCCACAGATACCGCTTCAATCTATCTCTGACGACTTCCCATTTTGTCAGAGCAAGAATCCCAAGGGTCTTCTTTAATTCAGCCCCAATCCAAGAATTTTGTTTGGATGCGCCGCCAGGCATCCACGCAACGAACAAGAGCCACAACTTGAGCTCTGCCGTAGCATCATCCCCAAGGCCTTGTAGCCCAGATACACACCCCCTCAGCCGCGCAGACAAATTGTCAAATCTCATTCCGAGCCCCTGCATCTGCAAGAAGATATTTGTCGCAAAAGCCAGCATGCCAACAAGCACCACTTCATCCAACGAACCAGCGCTCACATCGAGAAGCAGCAGCCGGTACTGAACCGAGACCAGGATCTCCTGGAAAAGAACACAGTCTATCTTTTGCCCAGTCTGAAACGCTAGGTTCGCGGACCTGGTGAACTCTCGCAGATCAGCCCAGATGTGTAGGAGATTGCTATCCAATGCCGCCATGTGCGGGGGGAGAGTCTTGCGAGAGGTGTTCTTCGCAATGTACGGCTCCCAGCAAATGCCATCGGAGAAGAACAGTGGCTTGCGATTTGTAAAAATCGCCATTGCAAGATCGGCTCTGAGGAGGGAGACTCTGGTTAGTAAATGAGGTGAAGTGCACGCAAGTGCAACGAGCGAACACGTACCTGCACATCTTAAGCTGGATCTGAGTGTTCCCCCCAAACGCCCTGACGCCCCCCCGCATCTCGACCATCTTATGCAAGCCCCTCACATGCTTCCTCGCAGACTTGTAATCGCCCACAAAGGCATTCATCATAATCAAGCTCACCACAACAACAATAGTAGCGTCCGAAGTAGCCAGCTCGGCATCAAGGGTCAAGCGTTCCCGTAACCCTACCAGCGTCTGATGCGCATGTTGTATTTGAATTGGCGAGACTCCCGAGCCGTTCAGCCAGTCAAAATATGTCTGGGTTGTCCATAGCAGGGAGTGACAGTATAAGGGATCGAGAGCGAGGTATTGGATCCATACCGAGTGCTGGAGGTCAAATGACAGACACAGCTCAATGGGGTACATTTGCTGCAAGAGGACCGTGAAAACTACCAGCCAAAATATTAGCATAGGAATCCCATATTCGATACTTGCAATATGTGAAGTCAGAATTTACATTTATAGACAAGATCCAAAGCATAAGGGGGCATATCACATGCAAGCTGAGTCAGCGGCATACCAGAGCCTATATGCACAGGGAGAGGAAAATAAAGATCGGAAAGGGCAACAGATGTCTGGCTACTCTCTTCATTTATCCATGACTTCAATTTGGATGCATCGGCGGGTGGTTTGCGTCGGTTTTTGTCGCGCATGACATGGCTTCTGATGAGCTGCCGAGCCTTTGCATCAGGCTTGTCTATGGAGCTGTTGACGATAAATGCTAGGTTGTGCCGCTCTGTATATGGATTAACCAATGCTTGCTATGGCATGTCTGTATATCTGTAGGACTTACTTGGCCTAGGTGAGATGGCGGTGACCATATTTGTGGTTATTTGATGTAGAAATAAGGTGTTCTGGAAGTCTATTTTGATCCCGGTCCGGCCCGAGTGAAATCCGGCGGACTCGTATCTTGCCTTGCTCCTCAACCCCTATCAATATTTTAAATGAATACGGCCAAAAACATATTTAAATTATATTACATCTAAATGTTTTACTAATGTAAGGAGCGATTGCGGCTTCGTGACTCTAAAACATACGCACTTGATTATTCTCCTTGCCAAGGCTCCTTAGTCAGGATGACCATCTTGCATCGTATATCGTATCCTTTGTTGCGGATCAATTATCACGTCAGACGAATGTTGCTGCTTTTGTGGGAGGATGTGGGACTCTATGCAGCTGTTATAGTAACTTTGAGCATCGTGTCCTTTGTTGTCATGAACAGCAACGCTGAGCTGTATCATTCAAGGACAATACACGCTCTAATATGGCACCAAACCTTGCGAAATCGCAGACTGAGCTAATCGGTGATATGATCTCCAGCGACCTATCATTTACTAATCCCGAAATAGCTGAAGCTGCTGGCTGTAAGAGGCAACGGATTGGGGACCCCTGTCGCCTTGATTCAAACATATACGTGATCGCTATCGCCGTAACACACACCTCTGTCTCCGCAACCTGCAAATATCCAGGTAGTGAAATTCATCTAGCGTGATTTGTAGGGTAACTTCACTAGGAAAGGAGCCGTTGCTCCAGCTTCGCCCACCAATCCTGCCAATCAACAATTTTCCTCTCAAGTCGAGCTTCTTCAGCAGCAAAGACCATAGCATGGCTCATAAATGCCTCCTTTAAAGTGCAGCCAACATATTTTGCTTGCGCCTCCTCTACGCTGAGTTCACCGTTGATGGAAGCCTCCACGGCCTTTGAGAAACCGTTCATCAGACCACCATCACCACCGCCATGACCGCCCGCAGCCTTTGGAGGTGTGAAAATCTTCACCTCTTCTGGTTTTAGGAATTTGTCGAATTTGTAGACTCGAATCTCCTTGCTATTGTACTGTATTTCTCCATGGGTTCCCGAGATCTTACCTCGCCGCTCACACTGTGCTTCTGTAAAAGCGACCATGTGGAAGACTGCGGTCTTGGGACCGCGGTCGGGAAATTCCTTACCACTGACAGAGCGAGAGTCATCATCCCAGGTCAGGGTAACAATCTGATCATCAAGTACATCGTTGTCGGACTCCCACACGCAACGACCATACCATTGCTTGGACTCGATCGTGGCTGTTGGTGTAGAGGCGTTGTAGTCTGAAGAAAGAGCTTGAGTCAGTACCGCACGCCCATGCTCCGTCCCATCTTTGGCAATGATTTCCTCAATATCCGGGACGACGACAACGACCGGGAAATCTCTGTCTCCTTTGTCATAGAGCTTCTCGACATACATCTTTTTGGCACTCCAGTCGCAGTTCTGTTCGTGAGAGCATGAGAAGCAATTAGTAGCATTTCCAGCTGCCTTCGGTTTTCTACGCTTGGTGAAAAGTGATAGGTTGCCCATTGATGATACCAGGCTAGGCATATGCACCGGCTCGCCGAAATCCGTCTTGTAGCATAGTAGCCACAATATGAAATCGATATCATGACAAGACTTGCAAAGAAGTGATGGGGCGGAAGTGGACTCCTTGCGCCAATTTCCTCGTACATAAGAGTGTGAGAAATGGAACCAACCGACCGGCTCTGTATGCTCGACCGAAACGAGCTCCCCAATCGCCCTATCTTCCAGCAGGAGCTTCCTCAAAAGCATATTATGCGGGCTGTATCGTAGGACATGACCGGTCGAGAAGATCTTCTCTGGACTCTTAGCCCCGCCGAGGCTGATATATATATCCTCGCAGTCCCGAAGAGTGGTTGCAATCGGCTTCTCACATAGTACGTGCAATCTCAAGGGACCAAACGCCTGCAGGATCTCCTTGTGTGTCTGGTCCTGGGTGCAAAGGATGATCCCGTCAACCCCAGCATATACCTTCTCACCGGTAGCTTCAGCTTCTCGTCGGCTCCTCTCGTATTTGAGAAACTGCTGCCACGAATCGAAATCTTGGTCCTCCCGTGGTGCCTCGTCCTTCCAAATATATTTCTTCCCAAACGAAGTCCGTTTTGACCGGATAGGATCAGCAACTGCAGCGATGATAGCTGGTAGTTTCTCTCGTCCCACAGCAGACGCATAGGCGGTTCCACGCCGGCCTGCACCAATAATGAGGAATCGGGGTTTGCGGTGGACAGCAGAGGCAAGGCGTGTTCGCTCCGACGCTGTCAATTTCTCTGCATCGATGTGTCTTACCTCGGCCATGTCGAGATAGTCAATAGATTGAAACACTGACTTTAAAGGCGGGTGGTGCTATTTGTTGTGATTGTTCGAGGTATAAACAGAAGTTGGTTCTCCCACCACGTACGAAACTGCAGCCCACTGCACTAGGAAGGCTGACGAGGCTGAGTGGCTGACTAAGTTAGTTCACCTGTGACCGGGCCGGGCCGGGCTGTACTGTACACCCATACAGTACAGTACAAGTATCGTCGATAACGTGCTTTTAAAAACGGATTTTCCCCTCCCAAAGATCTTCAACCGCACATTACCCATATATGCCCCAGCGCGAATAACTTTCAGAAATAGATATTGCTGTTAAGTTACTAAGGTACTTGATGAAAAGCCTTGGTACTACCAGGACGATCTCGATTTCCAGCTATATATAAGTCTAGGGTAGTAGTGCTCCCGTTCCCGCCTTGGCGACCGGTATATTCTGCTTGTATATAATTCGCTGGGGGGTATGCCTTTGTTCAACAAATTCCCTGAAACCTATACAAGCTAATCACCCTTGGCCTCCAAAAACAAATCTGAGTTTCTGTATGTATACTTACTTTGCTCTGAAAGATCTGAGTTTTGTGACGCGCTGCTCACATCACAGCCGTAGCCAGTGATATACCTCGAGAAGGGCGTTGCACGAACGTTTACACCAGCGACTAAAATGTCCGCCGGGAATTCTGTCCTAGCTCACACTAGCATGAATAAACTAATCCGTCGCCTCGAAAAGGGTACTGGCGTTGAATTGATGATGATCAAGTAGTGTATATTAATTACAGGATATGTACTTGTTCAAACTTCACAAGCTACAGATGCTAGGTATCTTCTTTGCTCTCTGACCTACAAGCCCGTCAAAATAGGCAAGGAGTATCTCTACCTGAAGCATGTCCAAGACACCAAGTGTCGGGTTGCTACTTCTCAGCACTTGTCCACCCCACAACACTCTGATGTAGTATCGCTGGTCCACTTTCTTCTTATACAGCTCGAATATCAGCTCACTTCCCATGCCTGGCCACACCATCTGTTCGATCTGCAAGATGCTCAATATATAACTAACACTTCCGTCGTGGGCGATGTTGTGTCGATATCTAATACCACTGCTCGTCCTCTTACCGGTACTCGCCGAGTCAGTTGCATGCATCGCGTGTCGTAAATTTTGGGCCAGCTCCGCGACCCAGATGCCATACTTGCCAGTACTATACTCAAGTGTGCGAGCCCCGGCGTCGCGGTAAAGGTAGCTGTACTCGTACTGGCCTAAACGAAACACCTCGTTAGCCATCGCCTGCGTAACGCAGAGAGACGGGTTGCTGATATTGCAGGGCAGCGGCTTTGCGTGGCAGAGCCGCGCAGAGAGGTTGTCGAAGTAATGGTCAAAGGACGTGTGAAAGCCTGAATCCGTAGGCGAAATTCCACTAATGGTATCAAGATTTGCGAATAAGTCAGAGGCAGCATTCAGATGCGAAGTCCAGCCTGATTCATTACTACCGACGCCATACGCTGAGAAATTGTTATTCGCCGTGGAGCAAGTGTATGCGGGCTCGAGACTGTCGATGCTGGCAGGCTGAACAAGCAAGGCTAAGTTCTGATGCGCTTCACCGCCAAACATACCCGACGTAACCATGCTGGCGACTTGCGAAGTGATAACATTGTTCGTGACTCGGAAACTGACAGTACTTGGATCGTATTTCTCGGGCAGGAACCCAAGCAGGTCGTGATAGACGCCGTACAGATCAATGCCATGCTGCCAGCTGTCGTCAAGCCCTCCACGGGTGATTTGTGGAAATTGACAAGTTCCGTTAAATCCCCGCGGTGCTAGAGGATTAGATGAGGAGGTGTATACGCTCCAGTAGGTGCGGGCAGAATGATTGGCACTGTGGGTCGGTAAGGGTGCACCGTAGTAGAAGAGAGCTTCATCGTCGCAGTACCATGCGTAACCCTCGACTGGAAAGGTATTGGCAGCATAGGGGGTGCGCTTATGGTGTCGGTGAAGTACCTCGACGTATTCAAGATCATACGAAGAATTCACCTTTGGATATTCGGTGCGCCGTGCATGCGGCATATTGCACCAGTTGTACGTTCCTAAGTAAGTGTGAGATACCAAAATTTGAAAAGAAAGGAAAATCACGATACCATATGAGCTTCCCTCTGGTAGTGTAGAAGAATTGAAAACAAAGCCATAAGTTCCTGTGCCATTTATCGCTGAATTGAGGCTGTTGATTGTCGAGGAAATGGGTGCATGCCAGCTTAGATCCACCAATATATCCATATTTGCAGCATGAATAACAGATAGGTTAGAGACGAAGCTGGTTGCTAATTCGAAGCATCGTATGAGTCTGTGGCAGCCTGCCAGTATCACGGCAAGCAGCCAGGCAATTCCATTCATGAAGATATGTTAGCAGGTGTACCTGAAAGTGTGATTGTTGGGCAGGTTAATTCTTTTGGAGTGCTACAGTGAGGTGTTATAAGGGTTTTGCTAAGTCGACTTACGCTAGCCACTTCAGGGAAGCATTAAGCACGGACAGGCCCACTCGCCGAGTACTTCCACCACCACCGAAATATAGAGGCACCCGAGGTACCTAGCGAGACAGCCTGTGACTATATAGGCATTAGCATGCTTATAGATTTATAAAAGGTTACTATAATAAGGAGATATAATATAAGTTAAGGATATAATAGTAAGTGTTACAATAATTAGGATTTAGGGACCCAGCTAAAAGCTTTTATAGTTATATGACTAAGCATATACCTTCAGTTATAATAGTTGCGCAACGCGTTCTCTACAAGTGACTTCATTTTACTAACAATTTAGGTAGGGCCGCAAGTTACTTTTCGCGTTTATTTATGCATTCTATACATTATAATTTTATAATTTAATTTACCCGATTCATATATATAAGTTGTGTTACTAGGTATCTCAGATGCCTCTATATTTCGGCTGTGGTAGAAGTACTCGGCGAGTAGGCTTGTATATATATATATGCTATATAATATGTTCCTAAACTAGTATAATATAAGTCGACTTAGCTAGATTTCAAGTCGACTTGGCAAAACTCTATTATAAGTTTATCCTTTTCCTTTCCCTTTTACTAGTATAGTATGAAGCCTAAGGGACTCACGTCTACTGTGCTGCCCAGGCGAGCTACATACACCTCTGTTTTGTACGAAGGAGATTAACGATCGTATAGGAGAATCAGCTCTTTTGCACACATTGTAAAACCATACAAGCAAGACACAGATCCTCTGGAAGTGCAACCAATGTCGTCATATCAGCTCTAAAGTCTCCAGCACGGTGCCTCGTTGCTTGATAGCTTCTGCTGACATCCTCGGATCGTTCATGCTTATGTGTCCACTCTCCTTATTCTTGAATACGAAAGGCGGCAAAAACGGATCGAGCATTGTCACCTCTTCCACACCAGTAGGTAATAATCCAAGCCTTGGATCACTCTTCAGCAGCTCCCCTGTCTGGGAGTTGAGGAAGTATGATAACGCCCAGCCTCTAGTAACAGGTAGCACATCTTTCCAAGGCGGCTCTAAGGGCGGCTTCAAGGCCTCGCCGAGCATCAAACCATATACGAAGCATGGCCCAACGACCTCGTATTGGTTAGAACCTCTAGGCCGTAGGATCATGGGGAAGTCGCATCCAAGAATTACAGAAACTTCGTCACCTAGTTTAGTAATTAGTATGGTAGTGACTAGTGAGTGACGAGAGATAAGTTGTTAAAATAAGAGTTTACCTTCACGAAGACCTTTTGCGGAAACACCCAGGTACCCCTCTCTGGTAGTGAAGAGGCATTCGTTCATGAAAAAGCAGTCCTTGAATTCACGTGCAACTTCGTCATCGAGTTCAGTGCTGGTTATTGCTTGAGTCAAGAGCTGACTGAGTCGCCCGATTGACGGGCACGGGTTATCGCCCTGGGCTCTGTCGCTAGTCCTGCCACGCACAAGCACTTCAACATATGCATCAATGGAAAGTCCTCCTGAGACGTATATGTTGCTGCGTGGCTCTTTTGGTGCCCACTCAAAGATCTCATCGATGACTTCTGTAAATGTACCAGTCAAATTGCGGCCCACACGACAGATAGTAGAAACACGTCTCCCAACGACTTGCAGATGATAAGCCGGCTTGATGAGCTTTGCAACAGCACTAGAACGTGCGGAAGCATAAAATCTTCGAATGCTCAAATACCCCGTATTTGCACCTTCAACCGGTTGAGACCAGTTTGGCACCCACGATGGGCATCCTTCAAAGCGCGTTAATATGTTACAGTGGTTAAGCATATTCAACTTCTGGTAGACTTCCTTCTCAGCTAGCACAAGCTGCGAGTATACCTTCCAGACCGGAAATGAGTAGTCTACCTCAATCTTGGCAACAATCCTAGGGTCTAGAAGGCCCAAGATTCCGTAAATTCTATCTTTAGGGTCTGAGCATTGCTGATTTCGCGTCCAGAGGAGCAAGTGCTCGGATGAAGCAAGTGGTGGCGCCATCAAGCCCCGTGCATATGGCAAGAGGCGGCCTCTGATTTCAGGTGGCAGTATGCTTGCTTTCTGTCTGAGAACCAGCAATGCCTTGCGCACACTGACCCATGAGATAGTGTCTCGCCCGCATTGGAGCTGCACTCGGTTGCACGAAAGAGCTTCCTGCAAGACCCAGACACGTTCGAACCATGACCGATGGAGCAGCGAATCTATTGATTCCCAGGTCTTCTTTTCGTAAGGCAGAGTATGCCCGTCTCGCCACCAGTCGCGCTCCTGCGCGTTTGGTGCATCGCCCCATCGATGAGAGATAATGTATTCCACCTGTTCACTGAAATACTGTAAGGTTTCTAGCGCAAGCTTGCTGTCTTCGGACTCGGGACCTAGCCAAATTATAACTTTGTCGGAAAGTGGGTAGATCTGGCTCATTCGCTTGACTTCTCGGCCGCGTTCACCATCATCGGTTTGGTTGATAGAGATAGCGTCGACCCAAAGTAGGCGTTGCCGATCAGGATATCTAAGATGTCTTAATGCACTAACTAGATTTGCTCGGATTCGTAGCCAGGATGGCGTTTGAAGGGGGTCGGCTGGGTCAGTAATGTGGATGTATTCTTCGTTATCAGCGGTCCCCCAGCTGTAGGACAGGGCCTCATATGGAGGTACGTGCCACCCGGTATCGTCAGCAGAACGCTTTGGCAAATCATACGCTTTTGGGTCACAATTCGCATCTGGATGCTGCCAAGAATTCGGGATTCCCGAGTTGCGTGGGCTCATGAACAGGTATCGTCCATCCAAAGTTTGATCCACTGTCCAGCCATCTGACAGAGTTTTCTGCAATTCGCTGACAGGTAGCCTTTCATCCTTGACCGCCGCCTCTGGCTCGAGGAGCGGACAATGAATAATGTTGCATTCTAGAATATCGTTGTAACTGCCTGGCTGTAAAGCCACCAGCCGCAAATCGCTTGCTGCGGCTTGGAGATCCGTGTAGATATATGGAGCCATTAATATATCGTGGTTCTGCCAGGTAACAGTAACAGCTCCTGGAAGAATGGAAAAGGTTAGAGAGTCGGCTTTTGTTTTGTATAGGAACAGAAGTGAGGTCGTCTGCTTTGACCGTGTCAATCGTTCAAGTGTATTTTGTATAGGCGTTGTCAGTTTATCACCAGGACATAAACTGTCGGTGTCTTGAAATCAGTCATGGACTGATGCTGATTGATAGACAGATTGTCCCTCATTAACAAGGCTGATATGCTTATGATGCGAGATAAAGAAGGAAAATGACTGTCGAGCGTCAAGTCTGCCTTGGTAGCGCGGGGATGGGATGGATACGGTGAAGTAATGTTAGCGCGGTTGCAGGGATCTGAACTTTTCAACCCTACATCATAAGAACAATAGCCAAAGAAGTTCCAAAAAAGAGAATGATTATATTCGCCTATTTATAGATAGCACTCCTATATTTAAATCATATTTTTCTGATATATTCAGCAAGAGTTATGATATGTTGAAATCAGGTGTTCTAGGGTACTCGTATACCCATGTCGAGACTAACATTACTTCACCGTTATACCTCTATAGGTTAGCTAATCGGCGTCTACATAGAGTGCCGCGGCGGTTTTAAGGATTAATATATTATTATTATTATTAAATCCTCGCATAAATGGCAATCTATAATACGATATACTCTACAACTTATATATTATCATACTTAAAGCATTACTAATAATTACTACTAAATCCTTATTCTTGATATTCACTTTATTCAAGTAGATAAGCTATATTGCTAAGATAGTTCTACCCAATCTAGTATCCATTCTAGCTAGCTAATTTTATCCCTCCCTCTAGATAAGAAGGTCAGCAGGCAGATTAGAATGTGATAATCAGCTAATCTAGTGTAGAGAAGTAATAGAAGTAGGCTATTAAGCAGGCAGTATAAGCTTGAATAATAAACAATTAACGATCCACCTTAGACATCGACTAGCCAGCGTGCAGAATATTGCTTTTCTTCAGATACTATAATCCATTTATAAATTGGCACGCCGAGGACAGATCGGGGGAGACAATCTGACGCGCGTTGCGGGTTGATGACAACTCTCCAATGTCGGATCTTTTTGGCAACGGGAAAACGGGTTTGAAATGGCTGTGACATCGTAGGATTGCACCCGTATCGAAAGTACCTACTAATGAGGGTTATTTCGATGAGTACTCGTTGGCGTTCCCGCGAAGAGGAAAGATGGTTGTGAGGTCCCGTAGCCACATAATGGAACTTGTTAAACACGTATAGGACAATGTTGGCTTCTGCGTTAACCTGGCGGCATATTTGAAGAATTGCCGGAGACCAATTATAGGCAACATATTTGGAGCCTGATAGTCCCGGAGGAACTACGTAACGTGTGCTAGATCTGCAAGCATAAGATTGTACAGCAAGTACTTGTAGATGTCGTTCAGAATCTCGATTGGAAGTTTGTCGAGGAATCGAGAGTTGGTACGGAGTATTGCCAGTTCGAGGTTGGGCTGGGTACTCGGTAAGCTGTGGGTGCGCATCGGCCTTCATAGGCATACAATCTGCTTCCCCATGGCTAATGGCATTCATGCCCAGAGCCCATCTGTCCGGCATCGGTGCACCCAGCAGCTGATACACTGCGTCTTCCTCCATCTCTTGAAGGCTCTGTCTCTCTTCTCTCTGCTCCATTGCCTTCTCGGCCAGCGTATGATCTTTGTATTGATCCATGCTGACTATGCTGTTGGATGTCTCGGGGGATGTAGAGGGTCAAAGATCCAGGTGGAGTGTTTGATACCTTGTTGACTCGGGAATGCGTCGTGTCGGGATGTGGAAAACCGAAGCATTAACTTTCGCGAGAAGTTCCCAAGTAGATATTCACAGAACAGAGGTCCTACCTTCCCCCATGCTATACATTCGTCAGCCTAAATTCACAAGCCATGCCATCTCCCACTGACAATCCAGATATCATAAGCATCACCAGATCTTACATGTACAGCCTTCTCTAATAACACCTTCTCCCTATCAAATAAATCCACCTCCTTTCCCACCGGAGTGGACATTGCATTCTGCAACCACTCAGCATACTCCGGAAACCCCGTAATACTCCCATAAAGTCTTGTCCTCTCTACCCCCCTCACTCCCTCAAACAGCCTCAAAACCTTATAATCTGAGCTCCCATACTGCGCCTGGAAGACCTCAATTGTTAACTCCTCGACCCCAGTAAAGCTCTCCTGCGCCTTTTGGGCAGAGAAATTCGGATCGTTGTCCAAGCGGACGCGGATGTGGAAACGGCGGATTCTGGAGATAAGGATGGGGGAGCTGATGGTGGAGTAGTAGAGACGAAGCCTGGGGAGCGCAGTGAGGAGATTAGGGTGTGCGAGGAAGGTGTTGCTGCCGTAAAGAATCGGATGGGTTTCGGAGTGGATTTTGTGGCATGTGGAGAGGATGGCGGGGTAGATTGGGGGGTCGCCAAGGAGGCGCGGGGTTGAGAGAGAGGGGATGAGGAGGAGTTGGCGGTAAATTTGGTTGCGTATCTCGCCCGGGAGATCGAAGAATGTGAGAGGTGGCATTGTAGATGGGGCCTATGATGTGAAATTGGAAGGTTAATGGGTGAAGAAAAGGATGTAAGATCTGAAGAAGAACAAACGAACGCTGCTGATGTTGTTATCCGACTAAAGGGGAGGGGTAGGGGCAAGAATATGTCTCGTCTCGCTTGATAAGGACCCGTCACCATAAGCTGGCGTAAGGCTAAAGAAAGCTTAGAATCCTCTCTATGCGGCCTGTCTGAAGGTAAGTCGACAAGGATTCTATGATACCTACCTTAGGTACCTACCTTATATACCAAGGTAGACTACCTATAGACCTACCTACCTACCTATCTTACCTTATGCTTCCCGCAGCGAAACAGCTCAAGACACCACACCAAGAGAAGATCTAGTAAAATGCATGGCTAAAATAGGTATAAGGCTAAGCTAATGCAAGTCAGAGGGTGTCTAGAAACTATGAGGCGAAAGAGACCGTCACAAGATGTCACCCACCTCGAGGTGGCCATCCCTTTAATCTTTCCAGAGGTATATTGCATCGCTCCAGCAAAGAACCCTGAGAGGTGGTTGATTGACCGAATGCGGGATATAATTGTTTATGGCTAATAAGAAAAATGGCCTTATACTAGTAGACTGATCTGTGAATCTATTTCTCGAGATACGATAGCGGATTACATGCATATAGTTTAACCATCTAAAAAGGGTGGTATTACCGTAGCATTAAACCACGCTAATCGATTACGAGTAGCGATGGTAGGCCACGCATACAGTAGGACTCTTCGTCACTCACACGTGACAATCTCACGCCTTGAGACATTTCAAGGGTCCATTCTTGCCTTCAACATCATCTGTCCATACATACATACATAGGTCCTCCATACAGTCCCCGATGAGTTGAATAGTTCCACGCTGCCAAAATGGCAGCCTCTTTTTTCCTTCTCGTATCCTCCATCTTCGGATGGGTCTATACCATCTGCTGGTCACTGTCCTTCTACCCACAACCGATCCTCAACTTCCGCCGTCGGTCCACCACAGGCACAACGGTCGACTTCCCCGCCATAAACGTCGTCGGCTTCCTCGCATACTTCATCTCGAACACGGCCTTCCTATACTCGCCGCAGATCCGCAACCAGTATGCCGAGAGACATCATGGACTGACGCCCACGGTGCAGATCAACGATCTGGCGTTCGCCGCGCATGCGCTTCTGACGTGCTTGATCACCATCTCGCAGTTCGTGCCGGGGCTGTGGGGGTTTGACAGGAAGGGGAGGACGGGTCCGGGGGCCAGGCTTAGCACTGGGATCAAGGGCATCATTGTAGGGAGCTTTCTCGGTGTGGGTATTGTGGCTATCATTGTAGCCGCGAGGCATGATCCGGATCCGAAGACTGGATGGGCGGTGATTGATATGGTAAGAATCGCGACATCTGTTTATTGAAATCGAATACGTACTAATTACTTTGGGTATAGATCTACGCCGTATCTTACGTGAAACTCATCATCACGCTCGTCAAGTATATGCCTCAAGTCCTGACGAATTACCACAACAAGTCCACGCACGGCTGGTCGATATATCAGATTCTTCTCGACTTTGTTGGCGGAATACTCTCCATCTGGCAGCTTGGCATAGATAGCTATCTGCAGGGAGACTGGTCGGGTGTGACGGGAAATCCGGTCAAGTTAGCGTTGGGAAATATCAGTGTATTCTTCGATATTATCTTCATTATACAGCATTACTGTGTGTATAGAGGGAATAGGGGTACGGCGTTCTCGGAGGATGAAGAGAGACCTCTACTTAATGGGGAAGCAAATGGAGAAGCAAGTGGGGAACGATCGAATGGGAATTCCTAAACTGTAAAGGCAGCATTGGATAATAGTTAGATGCACACTTATGAGCTATCATCAACGTAGCAAAGCATCATGTTTCCCAACTGTTGCATCAACAGTCGTGTTTTCTTATTTCCCGCTATCACTTCCCATCGCACCCATTCAAACAGTTTGGAGATTTCCACTTCATTATACTCTATACAATATCTACTTCAGTCTTCAGTCCGCAAGGCAAACCAATCTTCCACAAATACTTTATTCCGCATCTCTCACCATCCCATGTTTCATATTCATACCAATACCTACACATACTGTATTGCACTACATATATCAATCTCAAGTTCTCAAACATCATGCTATTATTTATTACCTAAGCCTAATCACATCCCATGCTATCCTATTATCTATCTCTCCCTAGGACCCTACAGTGGGGTGTCAAAAGTTTGAACACCCCCTATCCAATCACATATCTCTCCCCAACCATCTCCAACGCCCTCCCCCAAGTCCCCTCAAAAACCCTCTCCACATTCACCACGTCACTCTCAAGCACCTCGCGATAAAACGCCCAGCACTGTTTCAGATCCCCGATAATGCGTTCCCACTCCCTACAACTACGCTCTGTTTTTCTCCGTTTCATGTCCCCATCCACATGCCCATTTTCTTCCCTATCTTCTCCCTTATCTGCAAACCTCTTTTCTTGAGTGAGGCTGTGCAATAGTTCAAATTCGCAATTCGCACTGTTGCAGTATAGTAGCTTTCTCAATCGCATCTTCGAGGCGTTTGGAAAAACTAGCTTCTTCTGAACTAGAACCGGAACCGGAACCCGCAATAGAGGGTAGGCGTGTTTGTCTTGAACCATCCAAACCCCTCTCAAACTCCCAAATCACCCTCCCCAGCTCCCCTAATGTATCCCTCATGCACGCCCCAATCCTTTCCCCCACCTCCTCATTCCCACTCTCCCTCGCCTCCGCCCACTGCCGCTCGAACATCCGTACCTGGCCCCCGTACATCCGCCGCGCTTGCTCGTACTCCGCTCTCTCGAGCAGCTCGCGCTTGATGCAGCCTGGACAGAGGCCTGGTGTGCGTTCTTGGAGTGAGGCGATGTTGGCGTCGGTGTCTGTGTCTGTGTCTGTGTCTGTGTTAATAGTGCTGGAAGAGGCAGGGGACGCAAAGATGTAATCCGGGATTCCTTGCAGGAGTTTATGCCCGCAGTGAAAGACCCAGATCGTGTTATTTGAAGAGGTGTGGTGATGGCGACGGCGATGGTGGCCTAAGTCCTTGCTTCCCCTTCCCTGTGATCCAGTTCCTGCACCAACACCGCTGCCTGGTTGTTGTGCTTGCGATGGCGGTAGTGGTTGTGTATGGTTAAGTGGTAAGAAACGTGCTTCTGTGCTGCTTGGTTCTGGAACCAAGCAGGGTGTACTGTAGTCCGGTAGCGCAGAGGATGGCGCTGGCGAGGTAGCACGGCTGCAAGACTCGGGCGCTGGGGCGCGTGCGAAGGACGGGTGGGATAGCGTGAAGGTTGGTATGTTGCTTATGCTCATGCTAGCCAGCGAGCCATAACTGGATGTCGGCGATGGTGGCTCGGAGCTCGGCTCTTGGATCGAGGTAGAGAATGTAGAGGCACTTAATGAAGGAGCATGGCTGGCCTGGACGGTGGGTTCGAGAGATGGGGAATAGTCGTTTGCTGTTTTGGAAGGGTTAGGCGGGAGGATTCCTGATGTGCTGGATGAGTAGCTGGTGTTTCTTATGCGGGAGTGCGATCTGACGTATAAGGGATGCGTATAGAAGGGGGATGCTGTGCTGATGGGCGTAGTGGTCATTGTTGATGATACTAGGGGAAGTCCGCGTTTAGAACGATGTTGATGGCTGGGCAAATGTTATAAAAATATGAGGATTAAGTATGTTTGAGCAGACTGGAGAATAGCTTCTACTGTGCGCTAAGTTTGCACAGCCCCGTTCATTCAAGGTGTTGATATCCAATTTAGGGAATGCTTTGGTGGTTGTCAACAAACAAATAGAAGGCATTGAGCAAGTGAATGCAAGGACGTTTTGCGGCTCGTCGACTTACCCCTATTCTTAGACTCAGCCGAGCAGATCTCGCTTGTAGGTTGTCATGGTGCAGTGGGCATTTATCATACATAAGGACTTGTTTTCTATTCTGATTCTGATATAGAACAGAGTAGATATCCTCGCGTATTCTTTCCAAGCTTGCATGCTACATACATGAAGAGGACATGAACATCCAACAACCGCTTTTCAAAACGCTACACCCTACCTAAACAGTAAGCATCTAGAATAGGGTCAAGGTGATTAACGCGTAGTATGAGCCTCAAAAATGAAGAGCCTCGGCTGAGAACAAAGCAATGATCAAAGTTCGGGTGTAAGGCTAACATAGATGCAAGCAGCAATTTAAACAGAAAGGAAAACGGTGTCCACTTGAAGGCATCGGCATTCTTTGTTGCATGTTGCAATCTCGCTTCCTCTTAAGAGTTTGAAAGAAAGAATTGCATTGAATGAAAGATATAGCCGTTCAGACTCACTCATTTTGTAGGGCCCACCTCAGTGACGAGGAGAATCATTTGCATCCTTTGATCAGATCTCGAAGACTCCAAAAACCGTTGTTTTGTCCTCTTATAGCCTCAGCCAGCATACAGCTCCAGAGTCGAGATCGGAGGCTGGCAATCGAGAGATTTCCTCCCTATGGATGCTTCTCTTTGCCAAGTCCCTGCCACAGCCATGCAGTGTTTATGTACCATTTGGGGGCTATAGAATCGGATTGATCTTGTGACCTCGATAAGTCGTCGGAATAGAAAAATTAGGGGACGTAGATGTAGTCTTCAATATTGCTTCGCCCTTGTCCCATATAGACGACATTCAAAAGACAATACTGTTATTTAATATGCAGGATGGTTTATGTTGAAGGTTGCAAGGTAAAGCAACGGGAACGGTGGAATCGCTAGCATTAAGGACGTTCTGAACTATACGCCGGAGGCCATGTAGTCTCGTACACCTGAGTACGCTCATTTAGCTTGGACTCAACAGTCAACCTCTTCATCCTAAATACACAACCAGTACTGACAGCAAAACTAAATCACTCAGAATCGACATGTATCTCAAATTCGAAGGTCTGGCATTCCATGATGATATGGTCTTCTGTGGTGAATTTTGCACCCAGATTCTGCCCAATTCCTATTCTCCATTCCGTTGAAGTTAAACGGTTCAAGTTTGTTATTGATACTAGGCTGTGTCACCGTAGAGACTGTTCCTTTATGCGTGTCTTGTTACTTGATGAACAGGTTATGATATCCTGTCTTAGTCTGTCAAAATCACGTCTGTATCTCCATATCCTTAACTCGAACTTATTAAGGTAGGCAGCTCATTTTCTGTATGTTTACTTTAGCACATTGTTTAGCGTTGCATTTTATCACATCAAGTCATAGTTCTCAAGTCAGAAGGGTCAAATATTGTGTTGCAATGTCTTGTATTAATGAGAGTCTGTTCTGTGTTCTTTGTAAAAAGCAACGCTGCCAAAGAAAACCCTTAAGCCACTTGGCCTTTCAAGTTATTTCTTCTGATTTCCGAAAAGACAAACCGGGCCACCCATTTTTCTTTTTCTTTTTTTTTTTTTGTTTTCTTGCTCAATCATTGTGTTTTCTCTTTATAAGAATCATCCCAGGAGACAAACTCCGCGCAAGACCTACCATGCAAAGAAATCAAGGACCTCACAATTTGGGGCTGTCGACAAATGAAAGAGAGTTGTTATCCCCTGCATGAGCTCACGCATTCTCGAAGTCGCGGTATACGGATCCGTATTGGAGCCCATGGGACAACGGAGGATTCTCCCAACGCTCAGGCTCGTCTACCGGCTCTACTACCATACTATCAAGTAGATTAATAATATCATCAATATCACTATCATGCTTCATATGACGGAGCCCGGAAGCAGCATTAATATCCATGAAGTATTCTGCGGGCTCTATAACGACCCACTCAAGTTCTTCTCGGAGGCTTTTACACGCCTCCCTGCTCTCATCCGCATTCTTCTTGAGTCGCTCGATACATCCCTCGAGACCTAAGATCTTGGTCTTGAGTGTATTTTTGTGCTGCACCTTTGCCGTCTTTATGTCGGCCTTGAGGCATTGGACGAGAGTGTCTAAGGTGCTAAATTTCTTTTCATAGTTTTCAGCCTCCACAGTTTCAGTCCTAGAGCGTCGTGAACCATTTCCCAGGTCCGCATTGGACTCTTTCGAAATTGCGTTCATTTTGTCTGCACTCTCAAATTGGACTTTGAGGTTTAGGATGATGGACCGTAGTATCTCAATCGCCGCAGTCATTCTCTCCGACTTGTTGACGGGAATAGGGCTCGAGCTATGATCCCCTGCTACATAACCAGTCGGATTTCCTGGTGTAGGCATACCGAACATCGGAGTCGAAAAGGTTGATGCCCCAGGATATCCATCTGGAATTCGTGGTGGAAGAGGCCTACCGAACATCGGAGTTGAAGAGGTTGATGCCCCAGGATATCCATCTGGAATTCGTGGTGGAAGAGGCCTACCGAACATCGGAGTTGAAGAGGTTGATCCCCAAGGATATCCAACCAGAATTTCTGGTGGAGGAGGCCTACCGTATTTCGTAGTGGGCCAATTTGTCCCGTTGTTATAAAAAACCGTCGGATTTGTGGATAGTGCACCAGGCATCGAAGCTGATGGCCCAGGAGAATCCGAATCAGTCGATTGCTCCTCAGTCGCCGACTTCTGCAGTTCATCCGGCCACTCTGAAAGTCCGCATAAGTTGTTGGCGCTGTTCATCTCGCTTGGATGGGCCGACATGTTGCGTGTGTTGATCGCGTTGCTCAAGGTTTTGGTGTGCTGGTGTGTGTAAAGAGTTGTGTGTGTTCGTGTTGGTGTGGTGGGGAAGAAGTTTGAACGGATCTCGATGAAAAGTCGAGGGTATTTATAAGACATAGCTCTCTATTGTTCAGCACTAAACAGTCTGTTCTAAGAATGTTCATGTCTTTAAAAATATGACTGGAAGCTTATACTAGCGCCTGATTGCTAGAAGCAAGTGCTGTTTGGTTGTTGTTCCGGCTACTGCTTATGATAAATAAATACGAGAGCCACTATGCTAGCTGAGTTTTGAGCAAGAACAGAAGTTCACTGTGTTAGAACAGTTAGGATGTTTTTATTTTGGAAGAAGTATAGGTAAAATTAGAGGTGCACCGAAAAAGCATAATGAATCTGTTCTATTTTGTCCCGCCCCCTTTAAGTAGTCCAATAGGGGTAGAACTGCTATTGAACTGTAGTTATTCACTGGTCCGGCGCTAGTTCAAAGACTACCAAGTTCTCTAACTAGTTCGCGTCTCGATTCTCGTCTACATGCTGCAGATTACACTATACGCACTAAGCAGCCAAGCTCTAAGCCTTACACATATCCACATCCTCGTTACCCCGCTTGGCCCAAGGTATGAGTCCAAGTGGAGTGGAGTGGAGTGGGTGTAGATGGTGGTTGATGAAGGTCAGAACAGGTCAGGAAGGATAGTTACCTAATCGAATGGACGGATCTATCTAGTCGTCTGGTCTCTCTATAGACTATGTACCTGGACCCAGTGCGAGTTGTGAATTAATGGAAAAGAAGACATATCGTAGATGGACAAGATAAGATAATCCTAGTTACTGAAGATGGCATTCCACAGTGCTGCTCAAAGCGGTATTAAAATTTTGCCTCTACTCTACTTTGAGAGGTATAGTTACCTAGTATACAGTAAAATATACAACATACAATGATACATCAATCACCACTAATCTTAGCATGCCGAAAATATTTCATACCCACCCACGCTACCACAACCCACACCCAAGCCATCACGGCCGTCAAAATAATCAGCGCAGGATAGTACCCCACAATAGGCAGTGTAGGATCATCCTCCAGTTCAGGCGGCGCATACGGCGTCTCTCCCACGTCCCAAGCCCAACTCCAGACACCGAGACACGAGCCCATGCCCGTGACAAACACCACCCATGTCACAATCAACATCACCCAGCCCCACCACTCCGTCTCCGCGTAGTCCCATTCGGCGTCGGGGGCGGGGAGGGGACTGGTCACCAGGCCGGCGATTGATAGTGGTGAGGTTGATTTTTGCGCTGAGCGACGCCGGGTTAGTGAGCCGGAACTGGGGGGGAAGTAGGAGTCGGCGCCCGCGGATAGTTGTTGGGTAGGGAGATTACGGTCGGGGATACTGAGAATGTCGTCCTCGTCTGTTGTAGACGTGTATGTGAGTGTTGGGCTGGTTGCCGGGCCTGATGTGGGGGATGTCACAAGATGATCGTCTGTTCCCATGGGAAGGGTAATAGGTGATAGGAGAGGGTTCTTGCTTGCAAAACCGTCCATGGAGGGGCGGGGCGTCATAGCAGAGATCCCCAAGCCAAAGCCATTCGCTTGGTTTAATTCCTCGGGAGACGTTGGGCTTAGAGATTCATGCCCGTACATACTAGTGACCCCCGTATCGAGAGGGTACATTTTGGTGTCTTTCTTGTCTCGTTGAGCGCCTCTCCCTAACAGGGCTGCTTTTCTTAGCGAGCCTTTTCTCCTCCGAGTCTTCTGTTGCTGAACTGCTACGGCCATGGCTCGGCTTCCTTTCTTTGGTGAGATACGATCATCGCCGGGTGTGAATTCGGGACTCAGGGGTTCCCGTTCTGAGCTGTCACCGGCTGTCCTTAGAAATGATAGTTTGGAAAGGATGCCTCCTGAATGGCTTCTCTTGTGAATAACGTGGGAGTCATTACTGATTTTTTCACCCGGTACGCTGGGAAATTCAGAATGGGAGCCATTCAGGCCGTTGGATGAGACGGGGGGTGAGTTCTCCATTTTGCGGGGTTTCCAGTTTCAAAGCCTTGAGGTCATGCCCATGAACGAGTGACGGGCTATAGAAAGCTGGGGATTTCTAAGGTAAACTTTAGCGTTGGTTATAAATCATCGAATTTATTATCTACCTCTCCAGCTCTCGAATATTTCACGTGGAAGGGCTCCAAATTGGAGATAAGCCTCAAGACGGCTGGGAACAAGATACCAATTGACTTGAGGCGCTAGAGAGCGTCTTTGATAAAATGAGTGTGGCAACCGACTTCGATGAAGTTGAGAGCTGATCTCAGGCAGACAAGGCTGATATAAATCGAAGCAACTTTCTGTCCTAGCGTGACAAGCCTATGAATATTAACAGCCGTGACTAATAGACGAGGAAGGATGGAAGACGCACGTAAGTGGTGCAAATATATGGGCTTAGTATTATCTTCTCTCAAACTCCTCCTTTCCTTCAGCTTGATATCACAATGTCGAGCAATGGAGGGATATCACCACGTGAGAGTTTGGAGTGACGAGGCCGTTGGAGAGTGTGAATGGAAGTTGATATTGATGAGAAGAAGACAATGGATGTGGTCGTGCGTAAAACCAGCCTTACTTTGCTTTATTCGTTCAATCTCTCGAAGCATGGAAAGTCGTCGTGGTGTTGCAAAAGGAGAGACTGATCGATCTCGGAATAAAGTTGGGTTGGCAAGTATTAGATGTGGCTTGATCAGTGTGGCGTTCACGCTACTGTATTTGTACAGTACAGTACGGAGTAACTCCACTTGCCGCCGCCAGGGGTAATCAAGTCGGATAATCATCGCATGTAGATTAATGCTGACCTGTCATATTAGATCAACGAAACACAACAGCCTTGGTGGCTTCTCCATCTGTGAATAGCTTCATACAAGTAATTTCACATCCCATTCCAGACTCTCCTATGTCACCTTGAAAGGAAGCCAGTTGAGCGCAACAATGGCCTCGAGCCTGCCCATACCAGCGCCACCGCGAACACCCACCCCGCCAACCCCAATTCGAGAAGAGGAGCAAGAGATGGGCGGTGGACTGGGCATCAATGGCATCTCTCGAACCGTACGCTCGACAATGGCTTTGGACCCTAATTCGCTATCCCCCATGACCGATACCTTCCCTTCGCGCTTCGGGTCAATGGGCTCTCCAATGTCCTCTTCTGCAAACACACCCACCTTCAACAACTTCAACAACAACAATACCATGGGCCCTCCACCCCTCAACGCGGGCACTCTCAACCCCAACTCCACCTCCACTTCCAACCCCAATCCCTTCAACTTCCAGACACAGACCATCAAAGAGACTCCCCTAAGCACAATCGCGAAATCAGTATGGCTATTACCACCGTTCAGCAGCGAGCAGCGTCTCTATCTGCTGTCAGAACAAGAAATATATGCTAACTATTACCCCAAGAACATCGGCCAGCGCAGAGGCCACAGATACAAACACAGCAGTGTATCAGCCCAGCACCAAATCTTCCTCGAACCCCCACCACGCGCCCCCCTCGCCCTCCCAGCTTCACTCCCCGTGCCCACGCTGCGCGAAGCATGGCAGTCCACGGCCAACATGGACAAAGCGCAGCGTCTGCGCATCCTCTGGTGTGCCTGCCACGCGCTGGTTGCAGCCTACGTGCTGTATTCGGCGTCGGGTAGCCTGGCCATGACAGCGCTCTCGCACCTCATATTCTTCGATGCCATATCAGCCAGTATCTGCGTGGCCGTCGAGATCTTCTGCAACTTCGAGGTCTGGAAGCGTTCTTCCATCCGCCACCCTTTCGGGCTCGAGCGCGCAGAGGTCCTCGCCGGTTTCGCCATGTCCGTCTTCCTGCTCTTCATGTCCTTCGACCTGATCTCGCACAACCTCAAACACGTCCTCGAATCCCTGGGCTCGCATCAGCCGCACCACCCACATTCGCATCATAGGGTTAGTCCGGGCAGTATAGATAGTGCGGCCGTGTTGAGTATTGTAGCTACATTGATCAGCGCCGTGGTGCTGGACAACCACAAGAGAATCGGCAAGGCGATGCGTTTCGTGTACCTAGACAACCTACCAGGCATCCTCTCGAACCCCGCACATCTCCTCACCCTATCCTGCAGCACGCTCATGCTCATCCTACCTCTCCTCTCCATCAACATCTACATCTGGCTCGACCGGCTGCTCTGCACGCTCACCGCAGTCGCCATGTTCGCCCTAGGCACGCGCCTAGCTATGACCCAGGGCCTCATGCTCCTCATGTCGTATTCGGGCACGGGCGTCAGCGAGGTGATGCAGCAGGTAGTGCGCGAGCCGATGGTGGTCGGTGTGGAGGAAGCGCGCTTCTGGCAGGTGCATTTCGGGCTGTGCATGGCGAATCTCAAGCTCAGGGTGACGGGGGACGAGACGCAGGTTGGGAAGCTGAGGGAGCGGATCGCATTGTTGGTTAGGAATAGACTGGGCGGTGGGTATGGCAAGGGGTCGGGGTTGAAGTGGGAAGTTACGGTGCAGTGTACGATTGAAAAGTGATTGTTTATATATTTGTGTTATGAGGTAGGTAGGTAAGTAAGGTATATCGTATTGCCATATGCTATAATACATATCATATCCCCCTATCCTGCTCCCAAGATATCAAACCCGCTACCTGAGGTAATTCGCTATAACGCCATATACATACATATCATACGCCTTAATTCAAATACACGTAGGCGGCCAAGAAAGAAAGAATATCTATCATCACAACAGCACAGCACCAGACATCCCCTCCATGAACTCGCTGCTCCCCCCGAGCTTTCCTCACTCAGCCTTCCCCTACCTTTTAGAAGAAGAGGCAAGCCATCTACATGCAACCCCTTTCCCGCTTTCCCTCCTTTCCCTCTTTCCTTCGCTACAACATTCCTTACAATCCACGGAAAATGCAAAGAAGTTATCAATCAATGAATTAAATAACGTAGGTAGGTAAGTATGTAAATCTGAATGAGTAGATGGATGGATGGATGGATTGATTGATCAACTGTATAGTTCATATTTGAACCGAGCTAAGATAAGATAAGCTGAAGTGAGGGTGAGGTGAGGTATAGATAGGTATATACAAATAGAAGGTGTGGTATGGGATGAAAGAACAACAGAAAGAAATGAATAAATAAATAGACATATTGATATACCCTACCCTCCTAAACCGAACGCCTCTCATATCACGTTACAATCTACTCCTACTCCGGCTGCACATTCCCCTAAAAAATCCCCCACCCCCTCGCACTCCCATTCCCACTCCCATTCGCCTTCTTTTCCTCCCTCTTCCCCTTCCCCTTCCCCCTCCCCCTCTCCAAATCCCTCACGCCCTCCATCTTCTCCAACACGAGCTCCAACAACTCCTTGCGCCGAATAACATCTAAATGGCCCCTGATCTTCGGGTCTTCGCGCGCAAAGCGGTCTATCTCGTCTTGGCCCAGGCCGCGCCCTAACCTGATGTCGAGTTCGCGGGGGAATTGGTAGGTGAATTCGGAGAGGAGTTCGACGTTTAGGAAGAGGACGGCTGTGGATACTAATCTTGAGAGGGGGAGGGAGAGTGTTAGTAAGAAGTGGAAGAAGGTAAGGGGATGGAATGATGGAAGGGAAAGGGTGAAATGCTTACTTTGTAGACACAACGTCGAGGAAGATTTCCGGACAGTGGTATTTGTTCATCTTGGTGGCGCATTGTGGGGATTTGAGGGCGCGGAGGCGGAGGTTGAGGAGAGTGGCGCGGTCAGAGAGGAAGAGTGCTTCTTTGCCTTTACCATCACCCACGTATTAGTATAGTATAAATAAGGACAAGGATAGAGAGGTAGAGAATGAAAGGACCGAAGAACATACCTTTCTGCAAAAGATCACTGGAAAACCCGCCCGCTCCACTCCGTCCATCTCCCTCGACAACTATCTCACCCTTCCTAGTTTTATCTACAAACCCCACTACATCCCTCAACTTCTTCTTCCCACCAACAGCCTTCTCCACATTCTTCACCGCTTCGTCGACGGCCTGGAGTTCGTTCTTCAACACACGTGCAGCGTGTTCGCGTCCTCGTGCCCACTCGCCATCTTCAACGTCAATCTCAAATTTATACGGCTTGATACAATTCTCCACCTGATCACTTGTGCTATAAAACCGCTCATTCAGTATCCCAGACGCAGCTTCTGTGATAGCTTGGCGTGCGAAAGGGTGCGACGCAAATGTGCTTTGCGAGATGAGACGGTCGACGTTGGCTTGGATAGCGTTTGCCACAACCGTCGTCGCTAGCCTGCCGATCCCGAGTTTGGTGAGCGCCGAAGTAGAAGCATCGAGTTTGCGATGCCAATATAGGGATTCCGGATCCGCTTTTGGCAGATCGGCGAGGGAGTCTGGCTCAGGTGGAGCGAGGGAGAGGGTGGTGATGGGTTTATTCCAGTACCGCTGCGCTAAGAGGTCGAGGACTCGTTGATCGAGTTCTTCTTTCAACATTTCATGCACATGGGGCCGGCCAAAAGATTCAGTAAATTCTTTGAATGCGTGCTTGAAACCATCCAGACTCTCAGCTAGGTATGATTCTGCGGACAAGGGACGATCATTGTACTGGACTTTGAATTCGTAGGTTGCTTCTTCGAGTTCTTGATGGATTGCGTCGCTGGTGGATTGCAAACTCGCGGCCATGGTCTGTTCGAGGACGTGCATGAGTTTTGTACGAAGGGTGGTGGTGCTTACTGCCACCCCGCTTTGGGGGCCAAATTCGAGGGGATGTGCGTTGAAGAAGGCCGACTCATTTCGGGAGATTAGAGACGATATGTTGCCGCTGCCCTTTTTGAAAAGGCTTGTTGATTGGGGAGGGACTCGTGATACTACACCGACATAGCCGAGTCGTAAGGGGTATCTAGGGTCTTTGAGAATTGACGCTCCTCGGGTAGCATCAACGAGGTCCATCTTCGTGATGACTCCAATTGTTCGCTCTCCTCTGGGATCAACTCTTCGACTCGATCTTAGAGCGGTAGAGTTTGCAAGGTCAACATCTGCTGCTGAGATTGCCAAAATGACATTTGGGGGTTGGATGTATTTATCACAGAGATCCGCAATCTTCTGCTTCAACTCCGATGGCTGATCATGTCCAACTACTTGAATATACCCAGGTAAATCAATAAGGGATAAATCTGGGACGTGTGGCGATGAGATCGTAAGTTGTATAGGATCATCTGACACGCATTCCGAGTCAGGGACGGCCAGGTTTAGTTCCGTCAATGTCCTCTGAATACTTGAAAAGTCCGTAATCTTCCCTAGACCCAAAGCTGGAAATTCTCCATACTCTGCTTGGGCATCTGGGGTATTGACAAGGGTCAACTCGATAGGTCTCCGTGTAACCATGTTCGCCCCCTTTGGCAAGAATTCGTGTCCAACAATAGATTCCAAAACAGAACTCTTCCCAGATGATTGAGATCCAATAACTACAATTGACGGTAGTGTCAACGCATTTGATTGTCCAACGGTTTGTAGAATACCCCGAATCTCAATCATCTTCTTCGTCAAAACCATCATTTGGTCATCCTTCGCCGCCTCCGCGTGGCTCCTAGGGTCTTCCTCATCAGACGAATCATATCCATACGCAGCAGCAGTTCCGCCTGCCACTCCAGCACCAGCACCCACCCGACTCTGCTTTGGGTCTTCCCCTCCAGGTCCACTTCCACCTCCTTCTCCATTCCCGATCTCTTCATGAATCCTGAGAATCTTCTGCATCCACTCTGGCAATTCAACCTGCTCTTTTGTATTCTCAATTCCCTTCCGAGTCTGATCCAAAATATCCTTCGCACCACCGAACAACCCTCCGGCAACACCAGTAACAGTATCCTTGCCCCTGTTGAAGACATCTACCGCATAATTCCCAGCCACTATAAGATCTCAGCAATCACTCACTTCACTTCACTCTACCCTCAAACCAAGATTAAAAGAATAGCGATATAACATACGCGTAGCCTGATACTGCACATACGCCAAGCCCGTAATAGTAGCCCCAGCAAACAGCGCCGGAATCCTCGCAAACTTCATCAAGATATTCGGTATGACCCTCGCAAACGACGCATTCCTCACTATCACGGCATTTGAAAACCGGATCGTACCCGCAGGCCATATTCGTCTTCGCGTAGCTCGGATACCAGATTCGCATCGCAGAAGGCTGCCGGCCGAGGAGCTGTGGTGGGAGTGGATGTGGCGCGATGCTGCTGCTGATGTGCGGGAGCTGGCTCGTTGGGCCAGAGGCACAAGCCTGGCTGATAACAGCCGGCTGCTCATAGTTGCCAGGCGAGAAGTGATCTGGAGGGGGAGGACGGTGTTTTGCTTTTATTTGGGGAAGTCATGGAATTTGTGGTGGGAGAGAGAGGTATGTTGATATTGACTTGTGTTGAGCTTGGAGTGACGATTATCATGCAGAAGGTGTGGCTGGAGAGGTGGCGCAGAATTATGCAGCAACCTAGAGATAATTACTTTTAAAGATATAAAATCAACAAATGTATCATCCATATCATACCTTATGTATGGCTTTATATAAATACGCAGTTATACCCTTAAAGACTTCCGAAGTAATCTATAAAGAAATCATTGCATCACATGACTAAAGAGTCCCCATTATCACAAGCCCTTATTATTTCTCTTTAAGTATCTACCTATTCTTTATACGACTTGCTCCTACTCCCGTAGTTCTTCCACGCCGTTTCAAGTAGCTCCTTAAGTTTGGTAGTCTAGAGTTCCGGAAATTTCTATTTTAGTGATCCATCCTTATCAAGATCAAGATCTCCACGATCATCATCGGTCTTTCGTTATGTTGGTCACTAATGCTTTGCGGCAGATTGAGCTCTTGGCTCCGTGACTTTCTGGCGTAGCGGATGAGTATGAGTGGGTAGGCTAAGTGTGAGAGAGTCTTGTGACTTTTGTCAGCGGTTGCTGTTGTTTGCTTGGTTCCAAGATAGGAGGGTTACGGAGAAATACGGTCTGTCATTGATATTAAGTTCTGTGATTGTCTGAGGATTTTATGCCGCGCTCTACTAGGGATGGGAGGAATTGATAAACTAGATTGAGTACCCAAAAAGGTTTATAGATGACACTCCATCTACTGACATGGAGAGATACTTCGAGTGAGTTTATACATATGTTCATATACAGAAAGAGGAATTATAGCTCATGACATGGGAATAGAGCATTTATACTTAGCTGTGGCTGAAGATCGTGGCGCACCACTCAAATCAGTTTCCATTTACAACGTAAACATAAATATCACAGCCTTGGGCCTGGGGGGGTACACGGCATGGTTTCTCTCGGATCGGATCAAATAATATCAATATTAATTGTCCCATTGGATTCTGTTCTCAACGTTTGATAATCGACTTTCTTTCATTCTTTCTTTCCTAAGGCATCAGCACAATCCTTTGGCCATCTTGACTGACTGGGCAGCGATTGCGCCATTGGATTCCTCACTCTTTCAGCCTCGTTCCCTGCACTGCTGCACCGCCATTTCATCTCTGAGTAAATTCCAAACCTGCGTTCCATTGGAGGGAAGAAGGTGGAAACAATTTTCCTTCTTCGTTCTATATCCAGCTTGCCATCTGTTCGACTTATATCTATTCCAAGACTCTGGGATAGTATCACCGCCACGAAGTTGTCAAGATGTGTCGTTTCCTGGTAAGTCCCAACTCCCAGAAGTCCCGAAGCTTCACCATGTGCAACTCTAATATCCTCTCTTCTCCTCTACTCTAGGTTTACAAAGGTTCGGATGAGATCCTCCTCTCCAAGCTTATCCTGGATCCCACGCATTCCATCCTCACCCAATCCTTCGATTCCCGTCTCCGTCTGGACATGAGAAGACCTCACAATGGTTTGTCCCCCCTTGTCCGGTCTTCCACTCCCTGCTAATCCTCCTGCAAGGCGATGGTTTCGGCATTGGATACTACACCGACCCCAAGCTGGGCCCAGAGCCTTGCATATTCACATCTACAACTCCTGCATGGAACTGCATCAACCTCCAGCGAATAGCTTCCAAGACTGCCTCTCCTCTGATCTTCGCTCACGTACGAGCTACCACCGAGGGTTCCCTCAGCGATGACAACTGCCACCCTTTCTGCCACGGCAGTCTGATGTGGATGCATAATGGAGGTTTGGGAGGCTGGAAACACATCAAGCGTCGCCTGGGAGAGCGGTTGGCCGACAAATGGTACTTGGGAGTTGCAGGTGGCACTGATAGCGAATGGGCATTTGCTCTATACCTCGATACCCTCGAACGAATGGGCCATGATCCAAGCTCGCCGCCACCAGAAGGATTTGGGCCAAATGTCTTGCGTCACGCAATGCTCAAGACAATCAAGCAGATCAACGACTTTATTGCCGCGATCCCACAGGATATCGTGGAGAATGAAAATGTAGATACAAGGAGTTTGTTGAACTTTGCAGTTACGGATGGACATAGTGTAGTTTGCACTCGATACGTTAGCAGCCGAACAGATGAAGCTGCGAGTTTATATTACTCTTCTGGAACCACGTGGGAGGACAAGAGCAGCAAGGGTGAATATCAAATGGACCGCCGAGACAAAGGCGCAGATATTGTCCTCGTTGCTAGCGAACCCCTAACTTTCGAACGAGGCAAGTCCCATCCTGTCCCGTTCCCGCCCTTTAAAATGTCACTAACACAATATATTATAGAAAGCTGGGTTACAGTCCCCACAAACTCAACCCTAACAATCCACAAACAGACCGTCATGGTGCACCCCATCATTGATGAGTACTACAACTACAACCCCTACCACCGACGCTCCTCCAAATTCGTACAAGACAAAGGCCTCGTCACCAACGAAAAGCAACCACCCAGCCGCACCTCCAACTCCAGCTCTCCCTCCGCAATGCCAAACCTCGACCTCACCCTCCCTGCCAAGAAGCCATTCTCGCCCATTAGCAGAGACCTGCATCAAAGTATTGCAAGTAATCTGATTTCCTCCCAACCATCTCGCGCAAAACCAGCGTCTGCTAATGGCATAAATGGCAGCCTAGCATCTGATATTCGAAATCTGAGCTCGATTCCACAGCATCCACCGAGGGATAGGGATGGAAAAATTCAGGAATTGGGTAATACGAAGAAGAAGCGCTCGCAGACTCAACAGGAGCAGCGAGAGCAGGCGACTCAGATGGAGGTAGAGTCGCCCGTTAGGACTGCGTATGGGGATCCATTGAAGATCGCGCAGTATTTCCCAGAGTTGAACTGATGCGTCGGAAATCTTGGTAAAGCCGGAGAATATACGGTGGTGGTGTGTTAATTAATGCTTGCATAGGGAGATGGGTGCGGTGTGGTACGATTCTACTTTAGCATGCGAGTTTATTGGCGTTTTCCCTTTCTTCTCGTGTCGGGAGTTGCAGATAAAGGAAGAGAAAAATTGGTCAATTATGAGATTAGATTATATCTTATTGTCTGGAGTTAACTACTAATTAGTCTTACTATGCAGAAGCAAAGAAAGAAAGGCTTTAGCTCCTCGATTCTTTTCCTGTCACGTTGTACGGGTTTGTTTATATTTCTTCACTATTGTTTCTTCATGTTACCTCCCCGGTTGGTTTTTTTTCTTGGGATGTGGTTATGTATATGTGGGTAGGGAAAGTGAGAGGGTTTGGTTTGCTGTGTGGTGGTGGTGTGGTTAGGGGTGGATGTGGAAGTGGATGGGAGGGGACCAGGAGGGAAGGAGTAGGGGAATGAATGCAACGGATGTCTAAGGAGCGAGGAGTCAATAAAGAGAGTCGGGGTTCTTGGTTTGAGTAAACAAGGGTATTCTTCATTTTCTTTGTCTTCTGATTCGTTTCTGCTCTATCCTGTCCTGTTCTGCGTCTCGGAACCTTTAGTTTTGCAGAAAGTTTTTCTGCGTGTGCGTGCTCTGCTACTCAAGTCGGCTTTGTTGTAGTCTGTGAAGATTTCCGGGTTTCAGTATGATTTTTATGGTTGTTTTAGTTTGGGCTGCAAAGTTAGGTCCTGAATGCTACTTGGTCTCAATTTCATGTCACGACTTCAGACAGCCACACTTGTATATTTTTCATTCTTCACTGGCGTAATCATATTGCACACTTTATTTGATGAGAATATTTCTTATTATAGTCAATATTTCTGGCAGACAAGTAGCTTAATTGTCCAGCTAGCTAAGCAGCAATATCCTCAAGTAGGCAACCGCATGAACGCTAAGCTAGCGTTCTTTTTACTTCCCTTGCTTTTCAGGTTGCCTCCCAGTTCTCACGACCCGTTAGACAACCATCCCTGTTACGCGACCGCCGCATCAGCCTGCTCAGCTAGCAAAGTTGCCAAGCAGTCTGGGCAGATGGTTGACATCTTCTTGTTGACTTCGTTGAAGTACGGACAGTATGGATTATTTGATGCCGGGCGGTCATTTTCGCATTGCATAAAGTCAGTTGTGGTGTGGTTGCAGACATAGTTTGCATTATTTTGGGTGCACATTTTCCTTGCTGGCTTGATGCGTGTTTTGGTTGTTGAATGTGTTGATGTTAATGGTTGAGTTGGGGCTTGATTGAGCTAGTGGAGGGAGTCGTGACAAGAGGGAGGGAGGCTTTTATAGGGAACACAATGCCTTGTTCTCTGTGAAAAGAGAACAGGAGGATGTGAGTGAACAAACGAAGGATTTTGGGTTTGTTGTCTTTCGAAGTTTGGAACAAAGCTATTATTCTAACTTTCCTTAAGTTTTTCTTTGAGATCTAAACAGTGCTATTATTGCAAATAGGAAGGCATATTTAAAGTATACAGATCTCAAGTTGCGATAAGTTCTTTTCTATCCACACCACAACACAAATCACAACATCCACGAACCAACAGCAGACTCATCAGCTCCAGACTTCCACACCTAAATCATCAAGAATGGCTTCTGACCAACTAGTCCCAGCGTCCTTCCTCGAATGGACACTCTACAATGCCAACGCAATGAGCTTCGACCACATCGACGCCGTCGAAGAGCAATCAAGCCTACACAAAGACATGATAGACTATGCCACCTACCTTAAAGGCATCCCCACAACGTGCACCGCTCACAGACAAGCCATCTCGAAGATAACCAGCAAGTACAACGACACCATCCAGCGGCTCTTCCACTGGGAAGTCCGCACCTTCGACTTCACCCCCGTCTCCGCACACGCTCCCTTCACGTTCTGCATCCGCAAGGCCTACTTCCTCGGCGCAGACCACGTGCCCGCCCGCGCAAAATGGTACAAAGTTGTTGCCGCGTATGCCGAGAGCCTCGACAACCCAGACGACCGCGCCGCTTTCCTGGCTGTGCGCCAGGAGTTGGCTATTAATGATCGCCGCGAGCTCGAGGGTAAGGAGCGCAGGGATCGGAGGTCAACGCAGCTGTCGCCTGCGGACCACGAAGTCATGGATCCTGCGCCGCTGTATTCGATTTTCGATGCGCTGGCTCCTATGGCGAATGCAAATGGAGACCTGCCGTTTGAGGTTGTGAGCATTTTCTTTGATGAGGATGAGGATGAGGACAGCATCGAAGAGGATGATGGTTTGCTTGGTTCTAGGCGTCACCTGTTGTGAAAGAGGGGAGACGCTTCTTCGAGTGATTAAGCATTTTCCATTTCTTTTGGGGGGTAAAGGTAAGTCTTTTATCATTGTGGTGAGTTTACTGCTGGAGTTGAGCTGATTTGATTTTGAAATGGAATCTTAGAAGATACTAAAAAAGGAAAAAAAGGAAAGTATTTTTTTTCTAAAGAAAACACACACATATAAATACGCTGTTACCATGCTGTGAAGACTAGAATTGAAAACCGCATGAGAATAGATAAGTTGAAATCACGTAGTAACATCCGTCCCTACGTAGCGAGAAAAATTATAGTTCAGGAATTACAAACAAGTGCTAATATGTGATGGCTTTGGGACACACGAGACCCTTGAAATCTTAGAGTTTTGCTTCGAAAACAATATTACTTTGTGCCGCCTGCCCTCTCACACCTCCTACAAGCTCCAGCCCTGTGACGTTGGAGTGTTTGCCCCTTTAAAGGCAGCCTATCGTGACAATATTGATCGACTGTTTTAAGGAGGTAAAAACAAAGTAGGCAAGCAGCATTTCACCTCCCTATATAGTCCTGTAAGGGAAAAGGCGTTCACGAAGAGAAATATCGCTGCTGCGTGGGTTGCGAGTGGTTTGTTCCCGCTTAATCCAGACAGAGTCCTTTAAAACACACCGAAGCCTCCTACTGATTTATGTCTCTTAAGAGTTGATGAGATAAAGGTGGGTTCTTGTTAGCAAGACGACTTACTATAAACGCCTGTGACGCTAGTATTAGCAGGGGCCTTTATGTCGTTATATAACTTGATTTAATAGGATGTTCATGCACTTAATAAGACAAGCGTACAACGGCTACAAAAGCGTGTACAGAAGCTTGCTAACGCTGGCTAAAGATCGTTTGCTAATACTGCCCTTCCTTTGGACTAATATCAAGTAGTGCTAAGCCTAAATAATGAAGCGAAAGTTCGACGATCGACCAGGTCGTTAGTGCTTAGGAAAGCCAGGGTAATGAGCTACGAGGACATCGAGGATGCAAGAGCAAAGCGCGCTGTCAAAGATGCCACAAAGGGCAAGGGAAAACGTGGCCGGAAGCGTAAGGGTGCTGTGCTAGATCCAGAGCCAAACCCAGAGTCAGAGCGAGAGCCAGAGCCAGAAGTGGCGCATGCAGCGGAAAAACTCGTAAAGGGTACGGTGAAACGTGCTCGGAAGCGTAAGAGTATTGCTCCAGAGGCAGAACAGCCAGAACCAGAGCCAGAGCGAATGCCAGTGTTAGAAATGGCGCGGCAAATGATAGCGCCAGAAGGTTGGAGTGCACCAGTGGCGCGGATGTATTGAAGTACAGATTATTGGGAACTAGATTGCTGCAAGAGGAGTAGGGAGTGGTTGCTGATTTTCTTTAAACTTCGTTCAAGTGGCTACATAGTAGAGTTAGACTTCATAATCGGCGCAATGGAAAGGCGGATCTCATTCTTAATGTACCTCCATGCTTAGCGCCTCATGAGCTTGAACCTCTCCTGACTGATAGGATCCTCGAAAGTGGTTGGCTTACCCCTTATAGTCTCGGTGGTTGTTCTTAAAGCCTTGAGGAGGTCGAATGCAAATTCGGGAACGCTTGAAGCCTCTTTCTCAAATTTGTACATACGCTGTCCGAGGTAGCCTTCAACAGTTGCTGCAGCTAATATCGCACGCACTGGGTGTCCTTCAGGCAGAGCGACTGCTGAAATAATGTGCTCAGACGTGAGGCAGTGAGCGTGCGTGTCTGGCGCTCTCCACCCCTCATACTGCCGATCTTCTGGAGCTGGATTCGTTAGAATGACAGCTTTGATGTGCTCAGCCATCATAGATTCTATGCCAGTGATACAACACATATCTGCCAATCTAGCAAATTCGATTGCCGTAGTAATATCGATGTCCGGTGCGCACTCTCTGAAGACGACTCGGCCAAGGCAGATCCACTGCACAAGCACTTCGAAACTTCGAGGCGTCACCACACCATTTATCTCTTCCAAAGTCGATGACTACTCTTTCCCTTCCTTAAAGGGTCCTTCAAACATAGCCTCAAAATATGAGGATTGCTTGCAGAGGAGGGCTTTAGGGAGCTTATATTCGTGGCTTTCGGATCCGATGCGGATTGTGACCTGAGGACCTGAATAGAGGGAAAGGAGTCTACAGTGTCAGTTGTAATCAGATGATAGATATGTGTCACCACTAACAACGTTGCGAAGTCATTAAAAGTTGCATCAAGGAGTCTCTCCTCAGACTTTACGCTCGCCATTTTTGAGTGCAGCAGAGCTGACATTCGACATTGGTAGTGATGATGTTCGCCTTGTTCGCTACAGTAGGATCATGGATTGAAGTCTTGTGTCGTGTCAGCCACACCCTGAGTGAGCAGCCACAAGCACGAAGCTTCAGTTCCCATTCAAAGCCCATCACCACCACAATCGATCAGACTCCCCTTCCTTTTCAACACCGTTCAGTTCCCGAACCCATCTTGGGTCATATATATTCAGACGATGACGGGAGCGACATTACAGAACATCACCTCGGAAGGCGGCGTATATCGCTACCGCTTCTCCTCCTCTCGCAGTGCTGGACATCTCGAAAGCTCAAAGCGCCAACTTGTTGAATTTGGACCGCCTCTCACACCTGCGCAATTAAGGGCTGAGTTTGACCTCCACAAGAATCTCTCCAACAGGGTCCCGACAGCACTAGTATCCACAACAAAGGACATTGTGCAAGCTTTAAAAGGCGCATACGACCAGTGGAATCGCCACGAGCTCGAGGCGAAGGATGTTTATCTCGCTATAATCAATATCCCCCCTCAAGGCACAGACCCAAACCTGCGAGTACATAGTGCGATACAATTGGCAAGAAAGATTGGGCTTGGTGAAAGGGACCAGTTGCGATTCAAGGGCGAATACCTCTTCGAATGGGAAATTCCCAAGCGATATGTCGTGTAGAGGGTGTCTTTGCGGACTCTACATGATCGGGGTTTTAGGATGGACGAGTATGAGAGATTCGAGACAGGCACTAGCCTACTCCGTAGACGCATTTATGAAGCAGACAGTTCCTGAGGATCCCTCCTTACTCCTTGTTGGCAGTGTTCTATTCATATTTGCGCCGACGGAGAAGATCTATACCATACTCCTAAAGTGTATCGACAAGAAGGATGTTTTAATCCCTGGATGTATAATATATTAGGTAAAGATTGCAAACCGTGCTTTAGCTGGAAAATTGCATGTTTGAGCAAAGTCCGTGCCAATCATGAGCCGAGTGGCCAGGTCACAGTTATGATAAGAGCTATAAGAAAACGTCATATCCAGAGAGCCTGCGAAGTCATGATTGATGAACTTAGGTCAAAATTGCGGCAGACAACACTTAATAATGAGGGGCATTTGTTGGTACTAAGAAAACTTGAAGAGGCACATAACATGGTTCTACAATAGGAGGGGATAGCTCCGACCAAAATACCTGACGTTAGCAAATTAATATCCATTTCAATACGTGGGTTTTCGCTTCAGCAGAGCTGGGCAAACGAGCATGGTTTCAATTTTTGACATAACGTTAGCAGAAAGGCTGCTTGATGAGAATCCAGACACTCATTGCATGGAGTATAAATCACTCAGATATTTATAGCGAGCGCAGTTAGTTCTCAGCACACCAATCCAAAACCGGTTAGCCACTCTTTCACAAGTACTGATCAGCGTGGCGAGTTTGTACAAATCTGCATGCCATAGCAGCCACAATAGTTAAAATAACTTTTAGTGTTGTTGTAAATGTTCAAAAGTCAGGTAACACCCTTTAATACTTACTTAGAGTAATAAAAAAAAGCTCTGTGGTAGATGCATAGCGAATAGACTCTATTACTCTACAAATGAACACTTCCCGCAAATAAAGCACAAGAAATATTGTACTTTTGGGGGAGTTGGACGGTGACTTGTGGAGTGAAAGAGTAGATTAGCGCGTGTGGGCACGGAATCGGATGAAAGTGTGCAACTGTTCAAGTTTTGACGTGGCGTTAACCGTAGCATGGGGGAATCAAGGACAGGCCTGCCTTTTCATTCTAAATAAATGGCTTGCTGTCATGAAAAAAATGGAGCAGTTGTAGCATCTCGCGGATCTTAACACGTGCATGGCGCTCGGCTACGCGCCTCGTCTGTGGTTCAGGGGCTGATCAAACGTCACAGGTTAAGCATCCGAACGCAATGTTCGGTACGCATACATTTCATCCACATTTCTCCGACAGACCAGTGATCACTTCCGAAAGTATGGCAAATATCATGCTTTGCTTGTTCGCTTCTGGGGTTGGATCTTGACATACGACGAACTCTGATGGGCGTCTGACGGTCTGATGCTCTTGAGACGATACGATGGTGCAACAACTCGTGATGAGACTCAAGACACCGGATGAAGAGCTCAGAGTCCAAGTAATGTAAATACAAATAGGCATTTAAATCCAGAGAATAAGTGCTCGAGCATCATCCAACACATCCTTTCACTTTCTTCCATCAGCAACGACCCGGTGTCACGTCTTTTCTTTCAATATCTTCTTGTAAATACACATTCTTTTGACCCGGCGTCAACCAAAAACCTTCATTTTAATACCCCCAATTCATACCCCAACAAACATACCAAAATGGTTCGCATCAGCAGCCTCGCAGCAACACTCGCCCGTAAGTTCCCTCGAACCCCTCTCAAGAACCAATTTATTCATACTAACCCCACCAAGTCGCCATGAGCGTCTTCGCCCTCACCCCCAACACAGCAGGCGCCAAGAGCGTAGGTGCAGGCAACGGCACCCAGTTCACGACCGGCGGCTGCGTCGCCGACGCAGACTGCCAGTCCGCATGCTGCGCGGGCATCACTGGTAGCGCGGTGGGCATCTGCTCTGCTGCCGCGGCTTCGACGCAGAATGGGAAGACGGGCTGTGGGTTCGTGGATCCAAATGCGGCGGCTACGATTGCGGCTGCGAAGGCGCAGGTTGCGAAGCAGGGGTTCAGGAGAGTTGTGAGAGCTGTGAGAGGGGAGTAGGGGGTTGGATGGATGTTGTGGATCGTTGACGAATCCTGGGGATTCTCAGTAGCTGACAGGCGTTTTTGGTCGGCGCTGGGTAGGGCTGATGTAGTGGTAACAGTCCTAGAAGTACTATGTGAAAATGCGTTTAGTTCTTCACGAATATCGTCTTAAATGCACAGTGGTGCTGTGAAAGGATGCTGTCTCTGCGACTTGTAAACTAATATTTAGATGTCAATGTAAGCTAAGAATTGTCCAAACTCAGACTGCCTTTTGCCTGTTGTTGCCTCCCTTTGGAGAATAATGTTCCACCTGTTCCCCAGAATCCCAGCCTTAAGTTCACTTTTGACATAACACAAAGACTTGCTTTAGCCTCACTTACCTTCTTCCTGTCGCATATATATACTCGTGTTACTCGAACACTGAAGATGAAAATCGGCAAAGACGATAAGCATAATTGCAATTTTTCATTCGTTAGCATCCGTCCCAACATCTAAAAGCCTTTATTCAAACCCGAAACTCCATCCATCCGTACTCCAGCACTCCCACGCAATACCCATTCACAATTCCCTCGCAGCAGCAGCAGCCGCACAGGGGAAATCGCATGTCCATGACTCAATACCAGCCGAGTAAACCACGCTCCCCGCTCCACAATCATCAGTAGTCCAGCTATACGTCTGATCCGGAATCTCAAACTTGAGCTGCACCTTCGTCTTTCCCGTATCCGGATCCGTAATCGGGGCTTCGATATCCTGCGTATCGTAATCGAACGCCGGCACATTATCCACATTTGAAATCGTGATGGCGTGCGGGACGCCATCCGTGACTGTAATCGAGTCGCCCTTCCCCATGTTCTGGTTCTTCAATGTCGCGATGATGTTGTTGTCTTGGCGCAGCGGCTGCGGCACGTTGTACACTGTTACGTCCCAGAGGTTGGAGCCGCTCCAGCGGGCGAGGCCGATGCTACAGTTGACGGCGTTGTCGCGGGTCGGTAGGCTGGAGAGGCGGTTAGTCTAGGTTACTATGCAGGCGGCGGAACTAAGGTGGGGATTTGATAATCGTACGTTTCGCTGGCAGCGCAGAAGCTGCTGGATAGTAAGGCAACTGCGAAACTTGCGGAGAGCTTCATATTGATGTCTTTTGGAATTAAATTCAAGAGTGATTTCAAGAAATGAAGATGGAGGAGAGAGATGCAGTTGAATTAATGCTGGCTGACGGGTGGATTAGAAGGGATCTGCAGTGAGTCGCCAATGGACGTTCGTTCTATTTGCGTATTTGCAGCAAAGCTGACATGGAGCTGGGCGGCTACAATATTTGGTTGTCCAATCAGATCACGACCCCATGGTTCAGGATCTATATAACCGCCTGCTCATAAGTGGAACGAGTACAGTATCATTTAATGCTCGCAAAATATAAATAGTGATAAAAGAAGTCTTGAAGTATATATTTATTAGCGTTCGAATTCATACCTTACCTCTAAAAAAGCGGACAACGTTCATTTTCAGGGCAGAATAGCAGTGGATATTGGAATATCAGAATGCGGGGTAATAGTCGTATAAGGGAGAATTTACATTACCATCTCAAGCTTTGGCAACACTTTTAGGATTTTGCATAGGAATCATGATTTACAGAGTCAAAAATGACTTGCATGGACGTGGAGCCAGGCTTTTGGACGAAATGTAAGTTCAAGGTAGCGTGCATTGTATGTCATCAAGCACTGCATCTAACTCTGTCTGCAGTCAATCCAAGCACCGCCAAAAGAATATGAAGATATTGACAACACCAAGGACCTTCAGGATAGCCCAGAAGAGATCTTATACTTCTTCTCAAGATATGAGGGTTGAGAGACCAGGAGGTTCTTGGGAGATGCCAGTATGGGAGAATGACCGAAAGGTAGGTCATTAGCTTATGTATCAGTTCGATTCCGATGCTCGGGATTATGAGGATGACTTGCCGAAAGAGCGTTTCAGGCCCCTTGGATTGGATACATGGATTATGCAATGAGCGTGGAACTCTTTATGTCCTTGACTTGAAACTCTGGGCTTTTTGTAGGAAAACTTGAATCGGTGAAGTTCACTAGTCATTCAACGTACGACTATCGTGTTGAGGTATTAAAATACCAGGCTATGTTTGTGGTGTTTTGTAGTCGCAAATGAAAAGTGCGGGACAAGGAATTCTATTCTCTAAAGTGTCTAGATCTTGGTTAGGTAGCCCCTACGGAAGGACGAGAGGTGCCAATGATCATATTTAGTGATTAGAATTGACATCTTTAAAGAGACTTTCGAGCTTACATTGTAAAACTCGCTTCATAATAGCCGTAGTTATAACCCATGGTGAGAAGTATTCTATCTATGGTGGCAGCCACTGTGTTGTTAATTAACGTGAAAAACTAAAAGTTAACATAACCACATGAGTTCTTCAGAACCTTTGGACGTGTAATAATTGTTTAAACAAGAAATAAAAAGAGGTAAGAAGTGAAGATGCAAACATTAGCGTAAGCCCCTAGGAGGTCAGCTGCGTGCAAGTTTATTAATGGTGAAGTGTTAGTGGTCATGTTTGCAGGGATTCAACGTCTGAAGACACACCCACGTCATTATACCCGTTCAATTCATCCGCTTCAACGTAAAAGCGTAGATATTTCCGCTCAAGCATCGAAAAAGAGTATATATCGCTATCTGGGTATTGCGAAAACTCATGGTAATTTTTATTGCTCCTCCAAGTATTTCCAAGTATTTGAAGTTGCTCTATATAAAGCTCTTTAAATACCGGCAACGATGGGCATCCCCTACTCCAAACAAATCAACTTGGCATTTGACAATGTCACCCCGCTTGTGGCGGCCGGCTTCGAAGTCCTGCAAAGAACCAAGAACATCACCTACCTACTTGCCGCTATCCAAGTACTTACCGCCATTTTCCTTGGCCTCATTCTAATCACGCTCCTTGCGCTAATCATTACTGTGAGCCCTGATCTTGAAAACGAACGGAGAATCCTGGTTACGCCCGTGATCAAATGGCTCGCAGATTGGATCGTGCAGTATAGAAGATCCGTGCAGGTGGGCTTATGGGTTGTTATTATCGGGGCAGTTCTAGGCGCAGCTGGAGGCTGGTATTTTACAGAGAGAAGGTCGGTTGAACTTGAGGTGGAGGACGCGGAAGGGGAGACGAAGACAGACGACGATGCTGCTTCTTAAGAGTATCAGGTTGTTGGGATCGAGAAGACTACAAGTATGTTTCTCCGAGGCCATGTCACACATCCAATAACATATCGTCCGTCAATTTCTTGGGATTTGCGCTGCTCAAAAGGATTCCTATGCCGGCAAACGTTTTGGTCCATGAATGTATGGGACTCAGTACAAGCAAGCACTACATGTGGAGTGAGTCTGAAGTTTGGATGTTAGCGATTCTGCTCTTGTCCGGAAACTCGGTTGAGGGAAGCTGCAGGAGACCTCTGCAGGGGAAGAGCTGGGGTGGAACAAGATTCCCACGCAGGGTGCAAGAATTTTGCGCGGAAATGGCTCGCAAGCGTTTACTGGAAACATTTCCTATACTTCCCTTAAAATTAAAGCAGGGTTCGAGTGTTCAGTTCTCACGGTGTATTAGCCCATCGTGGGATATATTCTGTGGACCATCTGGTTGTGATGTTGGGAACTTTTTTGATTAGCTGTGGGCTGTCGCTACTAGTAACAGTCGAAGCTTGCTATGAACCACTCATGTAAATGAAATATTGGGTAATTCTCTGTTTGCAGCGTAATAAAACAAGTACATCGAAAAAAGTTGTTTATCGTCTTGCGTTATTCGCGACCAACTGCGATGTCTGCAAATTGAGTTGATTCCTGCATTCCTTGCAGTTTGAGTTTGCTCAACTCTAACTAGTATTCAAACCAGACGTATAAGATTATGGTTTGCTAAGCAGGAAAAACACTCGTCCTGGTTGGATTGTGTTTGACTTGCCAAACAATACAGACAGGTTAGGTTTGCGATTTATTCAACGTCTAAAGTAATTCATTTAAAATATCTAAAACGCCTTTGATACCGTCTGACCACTTCGGTCAATTTTCATACCCCGCATATCTGAAGTAGTGGTCTATAGAACGAAGGAAAGGATATCAAGGATTCGAATATGGCTAAACGCGGTATTGGCCCCCCTTCCCTCCAGCTCGCCTAATTTAGTTTACTAGTACAATTTATGAAGGACGAGAAGGGAGCTTGGGGTCTGTTTGACTACGATTATTCTACAGGCCCACATACTAAAGAAGATGTGGAGAACCACATCATTTCCATGGTATTACTTGAGCAGTATGTAGCTTCTTTTGAGCGAGACACAACTTTGGAAGTCAAGACCCAGATCCGCAGACATGGGAATATCTTCAACAGCATGTATGCCACAGCGGAGCGAAATATTGCTGTAAATCGTTTGGGTTTCTTGGTTGACCTTGGGGACTTTCGAACCTTCAGGAAGGATTTCCAAAAAGCCTTCGATGCTTTCGATGCCCAATTTCTTGAAATTGTCAAGGCTCGCAAAACGATTTTCAAGTATGACTGCTCACATAGACAGGATCGGGTTATCGACCCTCAATTATCACGGTCGGGTGAGCCTGTCAACTGGAGAGTCTATGAGCCTGATTTATTCATTGAACCAGATTACAACAACCAACGGTAGAGATTCCGATAATGGGTATGACGACAACAGAATTCATGAAAATCTGATGAAGACCGAGATCGCCACGAGGGTAATCCAGACAATGATAGTGGTTCAATACTTGAGGGTCATTCTGATGACCAAGATGGTTCTGAGGTTTCAGACGAATAGCCATGAGTTGGATGGCAGGGAAAATATCGTCGATAATGAGCATGCGAAGGGGTATTTAAAATCACGAGTAATTGAAGTCGGTCCACCATAATGAAGGAGCTGGTAACTGTCCGACAAATAACATAATGCATTGCGAGAGCACAGAGTGGGATTCTCTTTCCAGACCCAGAGTATCGAATTGTGTGGTTGGGCTGTCAGCCAATATATCAGGTTGATTTCATTTGACATACTCGGAAGACTTCAGTCATCCAAGATCCTTTGCTGGAGCCGTTATGTTTTGCCATTGTATTAGAAGGGATAATAAATGTCAAAAGGGCAATACGTGCATCCATAACGACTGATTTCAATTTCAATTTCTTTTAAGAGAAACTTCAGGGTCAAGCGGCGACTTAATCGGATACAATTTTATGATTTATAAATCATGGAAGCAATACACTCGCACTGTTAATCTCTTTGGTTTGAAGATCGATTCCTTTGGTAGTAACCTACGTAATATATCAACTTCCTGCGGTAGGGGGGCTGTAGCTGGATTTATACCCGCTCGCCCCGCCAAACCTAGGAAGGCAACAAATACCGACATTTTCAAAGCCGTGGGCTGTGAAGGATGGTAGCAATATCGGCATATCGGAGTTTTTGATGTAAAATATCGGCCTGGGAATCACCGATATGTTTCATCTTAAACTCTACCTTAATTGTTTAATTCTGTGGCGGGGTTATGATGTCTTTAAGTGTTCCATTGTCGCTGTACACAAATCATTCTTTCAGCATTCATTCTGGCAGTAACTTGACATTTAGATACTTCCTTGTATACAATTATCCGGCGACATGGTTTTACTCAAATCTATTGCATTACTCGGTTGCATTGTCGGTGCCACAGCATCATATTTCCCAAATTCAACACAAAAGACAGGCCTGCCAGGCTGCGGAGAGTTAGACATTATCTTTACGTGCGTTTACAAGCAAAATCATAACTCTAGTAAATGATAGACACTGAACTTTTTACCATATTAGTGGTCTCCCACCTTACCATCCACTTGTAGCTTCGCAGGGTTTCAACGGGTCAGCTGTCGATGCTGGTCTTAGAGGGGACGCCGCCGATATCGTTAAAGCCGGCTACAACCTTCGAGGTGAGTTATACCCCTCGGGTCGTCACTGAATTACAATTTGTCTACATGTATAACTCAAATCTTCTGGCATAGTGGTCCTCATGGGGCCGGAACAAAACCTGAGTGTTCTCGCAGATCAGGTAGCTGGTACTAAATGGCATGGGACTGGCGTTGGCTATGGTGTGAGAGGATCGCATCTCCAAAACCTCACCACTCGATTCACAGGTAAGTATTCACGCTGCAAAACTTCATGGCAATTGTTGCGCGCGATCATTAGCTCATGAATGTTTCCAGATATAATTGAGCTATATCGGGTTGAGGCACCGAGCGCCCCAATTGTGTTTGACTATTCGTTTGTGACTGCTATTTGGGCTATCCAGTCACGATTTCCACTTTCCAGCAACTGCACGAATTCGCCTGGAAAGGATCTTGTAAGTACTTGATGGGTTTTTTTTATCACAAGCCATTCAACTCACCCTGGTATAATAGGGGTTCGAGGTTATTTGCGACATCTGTAGTAACTGATTCACTGCGCTTTTGGAAAGCCCACCTTGAGCATTTTAATAACGATATTTTCTTGGCAAGAGTTTGCTAGATAAGGTATGAGTAGGGTGAAAGGGTTCTCACTAAGTCATTCCTGATAGTCTCAAAATACGAGAATTCCTTATATGGCGCAAGCGATCAATCAATCAATTAATCATGACAACATGGATATACAAATACACCAGAGATTTGCAACGATGCTAGGAAAGTGGTCTGGTAGTTATAGCTATAAGACGTTTGGTATGGAAAACCAAAATATAAAGAGATTCTCTTCACGCCTCCCTCCCTCCATACCTCTCTCCCTTTTTTGAGTGGCGAAGATAAATATAGACACTTGTACTATGTGATACTCCGTAGAAGAAGCAATGCAATATCATGACTCAAGTCGAGTAATAATCAATCAGCCATTAACAACACGCGGAGCAAAGAAAGTGACAACCTCATAAGATACCGGGACCAAATCAATAACCAAAAATAGGTATTTGAGTCGTACTGCTTTGATATGCTGTATTTATAGGCTCGAGATAGAAAACTTTGACATCTTATTCAACCAGTTCTTGCTTGATCCGGCAACTTTCAAAAAAGAGTGGTAAGACTAGTCTATCTGGTTGCTCACGATAGTTCCACTTTAGCACTAGCTTTGCTTCCTTGGCCTTGGCTGGGCTGTCAAGCAAGACTTGATTTAAAGAGTTTGCTCTCACTGCTCAGGGCCGACGATTGTTGCTCTTGATTCTCGCCATAAATACATAAACGACGAGAAGTTCTCATCCAGAATAACAAGTGTCCGTTTCTTGAAAGATGCCGTCCAACGCGTAGGCTAGGGCAGGCGGTCTGGAGCCTGAGGAATGCACAAAAGTGCAAGGTAGTAAGGCAGGTCAAAACAGCCACCCAGGGTTATATAGGGAGGAGGCTACCGGTAGAGATACCGAGACACGCTTAGCTGAAGAGGCTAAAGAGCATCCCTCCGGCTTGGAGTCCTATCCTCCATAGGCTGATCATTCTAACGTGTATTAGAACAGATCATTCCCACACACTTGCTCATATTGGCTGGTATTATTCAGCGTCAAGACTCTGCCCTTCCACATTTTATTTCGTCTTCCAAGCTACACGAGCTCCTCTACTCCGCCAAGCGGATATCATTCTCATATTCGCGGGAATCTCTTCCAGGCCTTTCCTTATCTGGTAACCCTTAAAGAATTGATACTTCTGAGCAGCTCAACACGATTCGAACGTGAGACTAGCTAGCTAGCTCCCTGAATTTTGATCTGCCAGAGAAACTGGAGAACGAGGCGGATGAGGTTCATAGCGACCTCTTCCGCCAGCTTTGGTGTAGAAATGAAGCCTCAGTTCAACATCAACTTGGAGCCTGTCTAAACCCAACAGCGAGACAATATAAGTAAAGCATAGCTTAGCAAACGCCTAAGAATGAATGAGATAACGCTCTCCTGTTGTGCGCTTGAGTCTTTGACATTTTGGTGATTCCTTTCCATGTTTGTAGCCATGTCAGTTCGGATTTATGTCTTGCATAATAACAACAAAGTCCATTTTCAGTCCAAATGATTGTTAGAACCCTCTGCAGTCATAGTAATACTGTTTTGTAATGCACGACGACCTTAAGACAAGTGAGAGGGGGAGGGGAGTAGATGTAGCCTAACCGAATTAACCGCTAGCGGATGTAAAACCTCCTTCCGCTTCACCAGCTTATCCACCAGGTTGTACATCACATACAACT